TCCGCTTGACTGGCTCATCCCCCACACCCTCCACTCCATCATCGGAGGTTGCGCTTTCAGCCACTATGCCCCAAAGCTCTGGAACACTCTCCCTCAATCCCTCCCTTTTGCCCCCTATCTCCCCTTTTTCAAGTCCCGCCTGAAAATCTTCCTCTTCAACCGTGTTTATGGCCACCTCCCTCCTCCCCTGCTCGGAGTCAGGCTCCGCCCACTGTTAAGTGCTCTGAGACGTTCTGAGACGCGTGGAGGGTACTATATAAGTGCAAGTTGTTGTTATTGAGTATGGAGGAAGGAAGAGAAAAACATGGGGTGAAATATAAAGCTAAGCAGGAAAGCATGCAATTCATTTAAATTGTTGCCCAATGATATGTAAACTTTATGGCTCCCAACACCTGAAGACTAGAGTAAGGCTGGCAATACAATTAATAGTAAAACTTGCATTTGATATAGCACCTTATCACATCGTTGAGACATCTCAAAGCGCTTCAATGAGTATATTGTAAAGTGAACTGCCTGTATTTTGTGGGTGAATTGCGCACAGCAGCCAATTGCGCACAGCAATCATGGAGTAGATGCCCAAATTTTTAAATTAAAAGTATAAATATACAACAATAGTTATTAAAAATAGTGTGAAAGCTTCAACCCTTAGTTTCCAGCCTTGGTGTAGTAATTTATGCTTTGTGCCAGTTGCAGGAACTCTTCAAAATCCCCCAAATTGAATTTCCTGATCTCGGTTTACTTTAGGTTGTTGTATTTTTAGGTAGCAGCACAGTGTGACATTTTTCACTGATTCCTGAAAGCGTGGGTGGAGATGAAATGTTTAGATGCAATCTGTTCTAATTTAGTCTGAACTAATGGGCGAGAAAGACATAACTGAAAGATACTGCATTTGCATTTTATCACTTATCAATATAATTTTACACATTTCATATGTTCTCAAATCCTGACAACTCAATATTTTCTCGTTTTCCTTAGGTCTGCCAAATTAATGACTCAAAAGTAGTTTCCTTATCCTACTCATCATTTGAAAAATGTTAACTTGGTACTTTAAAAAAACAATGTAATTGTGTAGAGCGCTTCAATGCACATCTAAGCACTGTGAAATGTCAATTTATTTGAAAGATCCAAATCAGTCAAACAGGCATTTACTTTAATAACACTAGGATCAGAAAGTTTAACCTTGGCCACTACAACAGCATTCCTCATTCTGATCTGAATTAACCTCTGTCAAAAAGCAAAGAATGTAATCAATAAAGTAGAAAAAGGATATTTTGCTTAAGCTCATATCTTACAATCAATGCACCTGAACAATATTGCTTTCTGAGGAACATCATTTCATTAGAGCATGGATCATTTACCACAATTGCATCCCTGCATTTACAATTTATTCACTTCCTGAGCAGGTGACACAGTCATTGTGTCGCCCATTAGTGGAGTCCTGTAGCTCAGTGGTCAGAGCACTCGCTTTGCAAGCGAGAGACCTGAGTTCAATTCCAGGCAGGGCGAAACCTTGGGCAAGTTTCCTTACTCCACACGCCTAATAATAATCCCTCCAAAAAAACCAAAAACAATAATTAAATTGGTCATTTTTCAATCTACGACTGTTTGTGGGACATTGCTGTGCGCAATTGGCTGCCGCGTTCGCCCACAAATATACAGTCAATTCACTTTACAGTGTGTTCTGTGAAGCGCTTTGGGACGTCCTCCCGACGTGAAAAGCGCTATATCAAATGCAAGGATTATTATTATTATTATTATTGACAAAACTTTTACGAAAATATCCACAGGCTAATGCAAATTTGTTTAAAGCTTTAAGCACTATTAATAAAAACATACCTGCTGGTGCTAAAAGATAGGCTAAAATAGCTTCCTGCTATTTTTTGGATGAATAAAGTAGTTTTTAATATTGTCTGGTCAGGCTACTTAATACGTAATAAAACTACAGTTCCTTAACACAAATTTGTTTAATTTTTAAAAATAACTGTTGAGTTACAATTAATGGAAATATCTATCCGATAACAAGTGTCATATGTGAAATATATATTTGAAAATATTCAGCAATTGTGATGCTGTGTCTCAGTAGGAATTTCAATTCTTAACATTATGGGTTGATTTAGGGGTAGATCAAAGGACAAATATTTCATTCTCAATTTTTAAATTGAGATTTTTTGGAGGGGGCATTCTACATTAAAGATTGAATCTCTGGATAATGTTATGAATGCATAGTGTATTGAATGTATTGAATAGTGATTGCAGTGGCTCCCAAAGCACAAAACAAAAACGTACCAACCTCTGGCTGTGAGGGCAGGATATAATAATCCTTGCATTTGATAGTGCTTCTCACTTCTGGAAGAAGATGTCTCAAAGCGCTTCACAGGATTTACTCTAAAAGTATAATGACTGTATATCTTTACAGGCAAACCCATTATCTGCTGACCCCTGTCAGGGGGACATTATGCATTCCCCCCCCCCACCCTCTGCCTCAGAGATTCATAAACACAAAAAAATATCTTGGCCACATTTATACCCATTGCTTGTCACTTTCCATGGTAAGTTATTCCACAAATCTATTACCAAATCACAGAAAATTGGAATACAGCAAATGTGACTTTTTTGGAAACAGGCAGACAATTTCAAGTACTGTATGCATCAGTACAGATTTACTTGCACCATCTGGTGGTAAGCTTCATACTTTCAATTCCTCCTAAAACTCTAGAACATTACTCACCTCCCATCCCCAGTAATCAAACCAAGTCCAATATCCTTCAGGGATAATACAATAATAATCCTTGCATTTGATATAGCGCCTTATTACTTCTTTGATAATGTTGTCTTTCTTTTAAATGTAAAATGACTAGAGCTAGCCAAAAGACAGAGTCCAGTGGTTTGTTGGTACAATGTTATGCAAATTATTTTGTTAACTTTACTTACGCATTATTTTGAAAAAAGTTACCCTAAAAAAACATATTTACTTTGGTCATTTTGGAAAGAAGACAGTAAACAGGAGGCCTTAAACCACATACTATATGCATGTCTCAGTACAGGGGGATTTCATACTTGTAGGTGCAGTTGCATAGATATGCTGCTGCATTCGTATATCATTCAGTGCTGCTGGCATCATGTGCATTCATGGTATCCATACCCAAATACACACTCTGGGGTCCCCAAGCCTTGGGTGGTGCCAATCTGCACCTTCATTCTTTTGAGTTTAGACAAGCAAGCATGTGTCCCTCTGAGGAGAGAGTGCACACTGCATACCAAACAAATGCAAATCATACATATTGTTTGGTTCAGATAGAGAAAAAAGTCTGACCAAAAAAACCCACAATCAACATGTGGTCCCTCCGAGGAATTCACTGCAAGGTAAATTTCCACAATCTCATGCAGTGGTGCAAGATAAGAGTAATTGGAATGAAAAGTCACTGTGGGCTTAGTCTTGCTCAATGACGTTTTCCCCAAATCTCTACATTTATCGAACTTTTGGCCAGGAAGGTTTAAATATTAAATATTTTCAGAGCGGGTAACTGGAATGAATCATTTACAAGAAAACAAGTCAGTGGGAGTTTCACAATCTATTCTGCTGTTTTGTGTCGTGTCTTGCACGAAAAAGCTGTGCTACAAGTATGCCCCCACATATCCGAACACACACACGGTAACATGGCCTACACTTAGTAAATATTTTATTGAACTGTGGCATTTAAATAAACGTAGAAATGTATTAATCTGTTGTACAGTTATAACACAAACATTTACAAAAAAACAGTGGTCCATTTCTTCAAATGTTAAAAGATTTCAGTTTGTACATTGTCATTGGTTATAAAACTGTACAAATAAAAAAAATCAATTAATTCTTGCAGCTCTTAGTCTTTCTTTGGTATTTCAAATGAAAAAACCTTGGGAAATGTGTTCTTTTCAGGAGAAAATTCAGACTAATGCACTGATTACAACTTGTTCACACAATTACCATCACAATTTCAAGTCCCTGCAATGGCTTACTGTGGAGCTCATCCGGTGTATGTACATTGACATTCACCAGCTCAGTCAGGATTTGGGGCAAATTGGTCCATCCTTTTCCTTTTGGATAAACTCAGCACAGCACTGGCACAGAACAATGTAAGATTGTACAGCATGTTATCTTCGGGTGGAAGTGGGAAAGAAGGGGACGGGGGAAAGAAAAAAGATTGCAAAAGGTATATGCAACTTACGAACAAAAGGTAATTGCACTGGGCCTTTTCACTATCAGGCAGCATGGGCTTATTTTTTACTGGTGCAAAATAGTGTCAGGAACTGTAATAGAATATAAATAAAAAGTAAATTTATTGGTAAATAAAAAAATTACAGTTTTTGCAAACATGTGACACCACTACCTGCTGTTGCATTTTTACATGAACGAGAAAGTGAAGACCTCACTGTTGGTAGTAAACCTGCACACCTGCAAGTGGGCGTAGTAGAACACACACAAGTAAATAAATTGTTCCTGAAGAGTTAGTCGATAAAACATTGACTTCCTTTTAGCCATCATTTCTGATACATACTGTACCATAACAATCTTTCCCATACATTTGATATCAAAAAATCAAATCACACTGCTTTTGTGAAGAGAGCGCATTGGCGCCATGTGAGATAGGAAATATTGTGGTACCAATAAGCTGAGGCAGAACAAGGTTGTTCTTTGTGATAAAATGACACTTGCACAATGGAAAGGTGCATTCAAGGCCACAACGAAACAGGACCATTTTCCCCACAACAGCACTGCAATATGTCTTTCATTTTAATATTCCAGCAGAAGGCAAACATGTATTTGCAACATGCTCGTCTGCAAGTAGGCTTTTGCACGGGGAGGGCAAATGTTGAGCAACTTCTTCCCAGTTTTGTTATATGCAGAACAGCAATAGGACAAATTTCTAAATGAAATCCCACCTCGTTTCTGGATTTTGCTGCATTTCAAAAATGTTTCAAAGGCCTTTCAGTTTTAAGTAATCAAAATAAATTAAAATTTGTAATTGTACTGATAGTAAATTTATTTTGAACATCAGTGCGATTTGAGTTCTGCTGAGAACATACAAACCGTGCACAGGATACATTCCATTCAAGTGTGAGAAACATTTCTCCTAGTTGTTTTGCCAAGAATTTGATGAAGAAATGAAAGATATGGTACACTTAATTTTACAGTTTTGAACAAAATTAAGTGTACAAAAATGATTTGTCCTGAAATACCTTTCACAGGAATACATACTAAAATTATGGTATATATTAATACTCACATATATACAGACACACAAAAATGTACTTCTGCTTCTCACATCCTGCTGTATCAACTATACAATGCTCAGTTATAGCTTCTCCAGTCAGACCCAAACGTGCCTTTGTGCAATGCAAGACATTTGATATTGAAATGTTAAAAAAAAAGGAACGAGTTGATTGTATGGCATACATTGCAGCATCATGAGATGGGTGGGGATAACTTCATATTTGGGACTTGTAGGAGCTTCTAGTGTGGGATAAATGAGAAAATGCTTGTAGCAGAAGAGCCCAGAAAAGACATTGGGATAGACAGGTACTAAGAGGCAGAATAAGGCTTAAAAGCACAGTGAGAAATATATTAAAATTTTTAAGATGTCTAAGCCTTGGTCAGCACCAACTCTTTATCCCTCCGATCTTATTTTAAAATACTTCCACACTCAGCACATCAACCTATCCATGTGTGTTACACTGTGTTACAATGGTGGTTAAGCAATTACCATTATACAACAGTATAACTGCTGTGCAGAGCATTACAATTTGGGGAGACAGCGAACAGAAGGGAGACATTATAATAAAAACTCCTGATAAATCACACTGGTCTTTTAAATTCTGGCACTGATAAAAACACGAAAGCCTGGCCAGAATATGGCACTCCAACAAAAACAGAGATTTCCAAATTGTATTTTTGTAGCTTATTTTTTTNCTGTTTTGTGACCTCCAATATAAAATTTTGACTATTCCATCCTTCCAGTTTGAAACTTCTGCAGTCAATAATTTAAAATGATTTTGTTGAATAGAAGTTATCCATGGACCATCTTCTTTATTTTGGGGCAGAATGATTTTGTTTTCAAATTTTAGAAGTCATACATACAGACTGACCAAAAGGCCAGCTTGGAATATTCCTTTTTGGATGAGAGCACAGAGCAGTTCTCCTAGAGGGGGGACAAATAAGTTGTTTCAGAGAGGTGTGATACCCGTATTTTGACTTAAAATCTTATCAAATCGGGAATTGCATAGGATGTACTTGGTGCAAGGCAGCATCTACTTCGAACCCCCAAGTCTCGAGTATTCAGCATTCAGATATCATCAAACTTGTGCTTCAAATAGTCTTTCATGACCTTTGCAAGAGGGAGTTCATCAAGTCCTTTCAAATTCTGCAGGCCTAGGCACTGCCGGATTTTAATTCGGCACAGATCCTGTAAATTTCTAGGCTGTCCTAGAGAAAGGAATAAAAAAGAAATGAGTATTATCTTTGGGTTTTGTGACCTTCGTAAACTCTCATGAATCTCATGTATGATCCAAGTCTTGAAAATCAACACAATAAAACTTCAATGTCCATTAACTAGACCTGTCATTGAACAAAGAGCAGTCAATTAGAATTTGCCAACATGAGTTTTTACAAATTGAATCAGTTCTTCAAAAAGATATTCCAACCTTGAGCATCTTTTCTACAGTGAAACAATGGGCTGGGAAAATAGACAGTCATGGCCATTGCTTTATCTTGTCTCAATCAGGTATTTCTTCAACTTGACTTCACCTCATTGTATTTCAACAAGCACTTGATCAATACTTTTTACTCTTTATTTTACATTTTATTCCCATGTTTTCTTTAAAATGTAGCATTCTTTACCGATCATTATTCATTGATGCTCTTACAAAAGTATAGCATTTTAAAACTTGAAACACATACATTTTCTTCAGATATTGTACTCCCTCCTTCACCGGCCTTTAAGTCCAACTCCTAATTATAGCCCAAAGATCATTCAGATTATTTTGTCTTCTTAATTGAGTGGCTCCAAATAGCAATTTGAACATAGAAATCAGCTCAAATCGATACTTACACAGTTATACAATCTGTAGAACTTACTCCTTTAATTCAAAAAGCCACAATGCAGTCCCCACAGCTTTGCAATTATGTAATACATTATAAATCTGCCTCAAGAGTTTTTTTTGGAGCCAACTAAACTCAGAAAAATTTGCAATGCATAATACATTGCGTTCTCCCACAAAAAAGTCACACCACTTTACAGTATATCTTGTGAAGCACATTGGGGCATCCTCCTGATATGAAAGAAGGTATATTAAATAAAAGGATTACTACTACTATATTTCAAACTATACAACCATGAATACTCATATGAGTGTTTTCCAAACTGTTGAGATAACATTCAAATGTATTTGATAACCCATTGAACATAGAATTGATCCGACAAGTGAGGAAAGTGAAATATAATAAATGCCACAGGCATAGTGCCTAAGTAATTCCCAAGTTCCATGTTCAGCTGAATATTACTAAGTATCCTGCTTATTACCACAAATGTGGTTAAATACTAGTCCAATTGCTGTTGAATTTTTCCTAACTTCAATTTCAGTGTTGCTCGAATTATAAATGCTTCAATACCTCATGCGTCTTTACATGAAGCCGACTTTCATCTCTCTCCAGAAGAGAGCATCTGCCATCTTGAAAATCCCATAAGCAGGGCTTAAAGATAAAAATGACAGGTTTAACCCCCACCCCCCACTCCATATTTAAACTCAAAATATAGTTGAATTTTCTCATTCCCTCTTTGACACTGAGGCACAAAATATTCATTTATTAATTCCAGCATGCAAAGCTATATAAATTCAGCCTCAAAAAGAGAAAGCTAATCTACCAGTTTTGGAACATAATTAGTGATGCAGTTTTGGTTTGTACTTAGTTTATACATGGATAAAGTGTATATAAAAATGCATTTGATTCCAATCAGGTTTTATCCAGAGATATTGAATGTACATAGGGACTTTAAAGGTTTGTGTTGTTTTAAAGGTTTAAAGTTTTATTTTTCCACTGTTCTCTAAACATCTCCCAATTTAAGAAAATGGGTAACGTAAATAAAATGTAAATAAACCATGGACCTATAGACTAATTATATTTGAATTATTTAACCTTTGAACCTATTTGTATTCGAAACATTACTTAAAATATCAGATTTGAAAAAAAACTGATAATTTGGACAAGTCTCTTAATAGAAAAAAAGCAAAAGTATAAAAGGTGTACAAGAGAAGCAAAAGGGAGATTAGGCAGGCTAACAAGGAAGATTAAATATACTTGTGCCTAACAAAAGGTGATCGTAATAGCTGTTTTAAGCAGAAGATAGTTAAAAGGGTGGGACCAGTTAGCATTGAAAACAGCAAACTTGTACTTGAGCACGAAGGAATGACAGTTTCTAAATTGCCTCAGTTTTCAAAAGTCCAATCGTTTAAATTTTAATTAAAAAAGAACAAGGCTTGTCTGGAATATATTCCACATTTTTCCAACACTAAGATTTTTGTCAAATCTGTGATTGGGTGGTTACAAGGTAGTTCAGCTGAAACTTTATTACCTTCGTATTTTTTTTCTATTCTCCATGCAAGATTCGAGGAACTACTGTCTTCTACAAAGAGGAGAGAAATTAACTTTGAAAAGTCTTCCTGTAAAGTTTGCAGCGATCTGTAAAAAGGCTCCACTGCATGAAGCCTGGGATCCCACCACACTACGTTTTGTGCTATTCTGAATAGATCAAGTTGATCGATCTCTCTCTCTCTCACATACATAACACACACACAAACAACAAATTAACGGTACTATTGTGCCAGTCTGTGATGGAGGTACAATGTTGTTTCAGTGTCACCTACACTGTAAGTGGATTGGCACTGTCCAGATCGAGGATCACCCTTTTATGTCTATCCATTATTTTATAGCCTATGTTGAGGTCCAAACTACCGTCTTTTGTAACAAGATTAACGGCTGATCCCATTGTCAGGCTTTGATGGTATCAAAATTCTTAATATCTGTAAATCATACTTGTCTAAGTTTGACATGGTTTAACATTCCCTTGAGCTATTGTAAGTGATAACACATACACAGTGGACCCACCCACTTCATCCATATACATTTTATTCTATTGCACTTGGAAGCCAGTCCCATAGTCGATTACAGTGCACAAGTATACCTTTCTTGTAAGCACGCCAGTTCCTTTTTAGTGGAAAAATCTAAATTAGATGAAAACTAACTGTAATCAGCGCACTGTTGCAGATTTACACACGTCACATGGTTATCTTAGACAACTGTAGTTACCGAATCTCACATAACATAATCTTTCAAGATTTTTTTAAAAAAAATAACATACTTGTGACTTCCTGTAAGAAATCCAGGCAGGGTCTGCTGGCTCCAGATAGACTAATAGACACAGCCAGAGGGGTCTGTCCCTCATAGTTCCTTGTGTTACAGTCTGCACCATAATTGTACAACATCCGTGCACAAAGCACATCATCCCTTAGTGCAGACAAGTGCAGTGGGGTCTGACCATCCTCAAGTCGGCCAAGGTTCGTGTCTGCCCCTCTTTGAAGGAACATTCGACAGTACGAGTGGTTGCTTTTGATCACTGCATAACGTAGTAGGAAACCATTTTGAATATCAATGTTGGCATCGTGATCCAAAAGGATTTTTACGCAGCTTGAGCGTTCTCGGATAATGGCGAGCTGAAGTGGTGTGGTGCCTTTATCACTGAGAGGGTCAACCTCAGCCTTGAATTCCAGTAGAAGTTTGACAAATGAATCTCTGCCATAATGAGCAGCCACATGGAGAGGAGTCCAACCATCGTTACTTTTTGCATTAATAATGTCAGGTCTGTGTTCCGATTCTAACATCAACCGTGCAATCCGTGCTCGGCCATGCATAGCCGCATAATGCAAAGCAGTGAAACCGCCAATTAAGTCTTTAACAGTGGTATCAGCTGAAAAAGAACAGAAAGACTTAACAGAGATTGAGAATCCAGAAACCGTGCTTTTAAAACACATACTCACATGCTTGATCACCACACTCAACTCATGTTACAGGATTTGGCAAAACTTTAAAAATGACCCAGTCCACTACCACTCGTTATGAACAAGCAAAAGTTAACCCCAATAGAGTCCATAGCCCCTTCAATTTGGAATCTGTGTCTATTTGCACTTTGTACGTGCTACCCCGCACTGCTTACTTACTGGAATTCCACTTGGTCCCATATCACACGGTAAGCTTTCTTTGAACAGCACATATTGTCATACAACTATTTACTAGAAACACAGAACAATGCTATCAGGTACAATGCAGCACAGAATCAATGAGAATATCCTTGAAAAGTAATTTTACCTAAGAAAAACTCAGGCATCTTGAGAATTCTCCCTTGTTCTCACAGCTCTGAACACAGCAACATACTCCCTACTCTTGCACAAACCTACACTGAAATGGTAATTCTAAATCAGTTCATTATGATTTGGTAATCAGAAATTCTGCCTCAAACTGGCCAGCATTCTTCTAAAATGTGATAGTTACACAAAGGGTCTTTGAAAATCCTTTAAAATTATATTTCCCTGGTTTGTGTATCACCACAGTTCCTGGTCAGTTGAGTGGACAGAATATACACTAGCATAATTGCCATGTAGTCAGCAACTCTTCATATTCAATGCTAATTACCATTCAATTCCAAAAATGCATTGCAATATTCAATAAATACTCACCTGGTTTCCAGGAAGATAACACAATTCTTTGATGAGTTTTCACAAGACTTTGACTTGTCTCGCAATGTTCATTTGATCGATAAGACTGGATTTTGAAACCATCAAAGCCTGACAATATAACCTATAGAATAATAATTAGGCTTAAAGGGAGTTTGGGACTCAATAACACAACTGAGGAGTTCAGATAAGATCATGAACCTCAAAAGTGCTATGCATAATGAAGAACCTTAAGACAGGTTGGATCTAAAAACAAAAATTGAGGCATCAAAACAGTGCCCAATGTGGAGTGTTGAAAAGAGAATGGCTTGATCTTAATGAGGCCCATATCAGATATATATTTCTCCTAGCTTGTTTCCGATGCTTGGTACAGCACCTGCAATTTTGCAGTGAAGTGCTAATGTCAAATATTGTTTGATATATTGATATTCAAATCTTCTAAAAATGGTTTGAAGTGGCTTAGGCTTATAAGAAGGAAGACGTCTTCTAGGCATCTCAAAGCGCTTCACAAAATATACAGTAAAGTGAATTGACTGCATTTTTGTGGGCAAAACATGGCAACCAATTGCGCACAGCGGTGTCCCACAGTCGTGGATTGAAGTGACCAAATTATTATGGAGTTTTTTTCTTGAGGGATTATTATCAGGCGTGTGGAGAAAGGAAACTTGCCCAAGGTTTCGTCCTTAATATTGTGTTGTAGTGAATTTAAGCGTTTGAGAACCCCTCCAAATGTGAAAGATGGTATTTAAGTGTAAATTTGTATTGTAATTTAGGTGTGAACTAAATAGGTGTATTACACTACCACCTAGTGTTCAGTGGGTCATACTATTCTAAACATTACGCTATTGAAAGGAAGTTGAAATTGCTTACAGCAATAAAGTGATTAGGAGGGGAAAGCCCACTTTATTTTTTCCATTCCAAAGTTTATTGTGGATGAGGGAAAGCAAAATGCAACATTTTGTTAATTGTTGTCGAATACCTTGTTTTAAAATGTTAGTAAAATAGCAGTTTTGTGACCTGCTCTTTGATAACATTAAAATGATCCTTTAAACAGCTCGAGCAGTTTAAGGGGCCATTTTAAGCAGAGGATAAATCAATTTGCATTTATACTGCAGAGGTGCAAATTAATTTCTCCGTGAAACATCTTCAAGCTGTTTGTATCAGGCATGCACCAGCATAGGACACTTCTTCATTTTGTGCCCCAAACTGGATCTTACACCTTTTATTGTATATTTTAGGCAATTAGAGCACCGAATCAATGTACAAAGCACAATATAAAACTTGCCATTCAAACCAAAAATGTTTGACATAATAAGAAGCACTGCATTGAGTGACATTCAGTGAAGTCTCTTTCAACCATCTTCTTTACTCCATCAGACCGGGAGTATGCCAAATGTCTAGATTAATCTTCTCTAATCTCGTAGTAGCCAACCCTTTATACTACAGATCAGTCTTCTCATGCTTCATTCTCTCCACTCTGGTTTTGTAGCCAGAGCAACACATTATGATCTAGTCAGTGTTTTGTAGTTCACTAGACTTGTAGTTTACTGTTCTCGCTAAATATCAACATTTGGTTTGTATTTTAATTGCTCACCACTTACCACATGATTGATAGGAAGCAATACCGCACTTTGTAAATCTCATTCTTTCAATTCAACTTTATTTTTTTCGCATTTTGATACGCGGTGCGACCAATCTTCACTATTGTAACAGTTTACATTTATCAGTGCAGTTTTTCTTATTTGTCTCTCTAATTTTATATTAGATCTAAATCATTTGGTAACTTTTACTGCATCTTAAAACTCTGCTCTCCCAATTTAGTATTAGAACATATGGCAATCTTACAAGTAGTTTTGATACTCAAGTCATTGAAGTAGATTAGAAATGAGGTCCAAGCACGAATCATTGCAGGACTCCACTTAGCACCTTCCCCATTCTGACACTGCTTTCACAAAACTCCATTTCTCTTTTTATTTAAAAAAAACTTTATCCACTCCCACAGTATATCTGTGGTCTTGGCTTTCACTTAAATTAGTGATTCTTCCAAGTAGGACTTTATCAAAATCCTCCTCAAAGTTCAACAAAAATATATCATATCATAGGGAGATTCTCACTTGCTCTGCAGGTGTAGATTAGCAAATTATAAAAGTTTAAGACATAAGAATATTACTAAAAAATGTTCCGATTTGGTTGATGAACCAAAGCCATAGCAATGTACAACAGTAAGAGGCCATATGGGCTATTTTTTAGTGCCAATGTTTTCTCCTCCATGAAGCCACCCATCCTATCCACCATCCCTTGTATCCTCCAATACACCATCTGAATGGATCTATCTAATTCTCTTAGATGTCCCAATCGCCTCTGCTCAAGTTGGAGCATGCGGATAAGCCTCTCTCTTTCAGAGAAGTAACAACAAAGTTAGAACAGAATATTGGAAGGTCACATCCTTTCAGCGACTTGGGCTCAGGATCCCAGCTGACATTCTAGTGGAATGAGGATGGCGTACATCAAGTGCCGTCCTTCAAAGGAGATGTTAGTTCGATGTCTCGTCTGCCTGTTTAGGTGGATGTTAAAAGAACCCATGACCCCATTTCAAAAGGAGGAGTTTCTTCATGTACTGTCCAACAAATCCTCCAGAGAAATGGGTTGCTCAGCACCAACCGGCCTACTTAGGAGTTGTTGCTGAATGCAAATCATCTACTGCATTTGCTTACAGATACTCTATATTTTACAGTAATTGCAAATAACCCTTAGAAATATTGATGTGATAAGGTGCTGCATCAATATTGCTACCCCAAACACATACAGTCCATTATACACTTATTTGGTAATCAATGCAAGCACACAGACAACTGCAATTAATAGTGTCAGAGTCTCAATGCAGTCTGTACTTACCTCCATGCTCTAAGAATACTCTTACACATCTTTCTTTGCCTCTGGCAGCAGAAAAATGAAGTAGTGTCCATCCATTTGCATCCCGACCATTCGGAGAATAGCCTTCCTCCAGCATCTTGCGCACTGTATGAACATCACCAGCTGCAACAGCATTTTGGATCTGCAGTTCCTGCTGCAATTCCGGATTTCTTCTACAGTGATGATGGAACATGCTAGTGCGTCACGTTGTCACAACCGATGCATGAGGTCACTTTCCTTCAGAAGTTTCAGTTAAAAATTCAAAATCAGTTGCACAATAACACTCGTCAACCAATTGTCCAAAATTGTAAATTTAAAAAACACTGGGATCAGTTTAGTTCAGAAATCAATGAAACAAAATAGCAGAATTTGCTGGAGATTCCATCTGCTCGATTATAAGCGTTTCTTTTGTTTTGCAAAATTATGAATTCTCAACAACCACAGGCATTAGGAACAATGGAAAGGTACTTTATAGACAGTTACAATAGTAACCAAAGTTACAAAATTTAAATTAATATCTAGATCATTCTTTGCTGGCAAACTACATTAAGGAGCTCCATATTATATTTTTAGATTATACTACACAATATGTACACTTTATATAATATATATATACACACACACACACAGAAATCCAGTGATTGAGGGCAGGAGGTAGTTCAAATTAACGGTTTAGCAATTTCAATTATACATAATAATGTTGTGTACATTTTTCAAAAATAAGTCAGAACTTTGGTCCTTTTTTTAATGTCCACTGTTTACACTGGTACAATAATTTGTTAGTTTCCAGGAGTATGATTGGCACGGGTAAGCCTGATTTATACTGACCCGCTCTAAATTGTTCGTGCCAGGAAAGGCTTCACTAATAGGCATTGACTGTTTTTAAAGAGCTGATTGGCATAATAAACCACCCAAGAATTTTTAAAAGGACCATTTTGAGCAATGGCCAAAACTATTTCTACTGCCTATATTTATTCTGCAGTGGAGCAAATTAAGATCTTAACAAAAACACTTAAAGGTGGTCTCAGCAAGCAGACTCCAGGGATAATGGCCATGCTTCGAACCTGCTTTATACTTTCTTTTTTTAAAAAGTATAATTTGATGCACTTTTTGCATTGAGGCAGCACATAACACACAGTACAAACCAGGCACAAAACTGCCCTCAGCAATTTAAGTGTCTTTATCATTTCCATATATTCCTAGTGCTACGTGATTTTTAAATACTGCACTGTTAAAATGTATTTTGGCATCAACATACCCACACAAGGACTTAGCCAATCCAAATGATTATGAAAAATATGTGCTGGACAGAATTTTATAGCAAACAAATACTGCTGAAGTACAGCAACTCGACACCTTTTTAACCCCTCCACTCAAAGAGTACCACTTGTGTAAAAGCCTAATCTATTACAGTACTAGAGCATTTTGGTGGATACACGAGTTAGCACGACCAATGATCATACAGCAAATGCTAGTTGTATGACAAATCATCTTGGACATCGTGACAACTGGTGCAATTTTAGTAACATTTTATACTGTATTCTGTTGAGACAAATGGTATCAATCCATTAATGAATTATTTCAGAGTTCAACAGATTTAAAAGAAAATTTACTATTTTATTACATATTCCTGAATACATTGTGCATTTCCCAACAGTTTTGAGTATAATTCTTGTTTACTTACGTTTTAGTAACACGGTTTCCTTGAATGGAAGTAGTTTCTTCCAGGTTTCAGTGCCTACAGAAAAAATTATGCATTAGTCACATTTATTATCATAGTTAACACAGCCTCCACCAAAGAAAACCATGTTTCTATCTCACCAATATACAGATAAAACAGTTGCACCATTCATTCCTAATACTGACTTGCTTTCCACAGCTGTAAGTCAATAATGGGAATGAAGAGTGTGGCTATTTTATCTTTTCACCTGTGGTATCACTTTAGTGAATCCAAGTTGCACCCTGAATGACATATTGCAATAATGGGTTACCCAAAAAGTGCAAAATACTCTAGTTAACCAAGATCTTGTACAGATTCTACATCAGCTCCTGTGTTAAATGTATATAAACCCAATTTGATCTTTTTAATGCATTTTCCACCTAAGAGCTACATCCATACCTCAAAACCCCATTCTTCTAATTCCTGGAGAATTTTACCATTGAAATATATCAAAAACATTATCATCTCCACAAACCTAATGGCTAAAATCTATGCCATACTGGTTTATAGAAGGCAACTGGATGGTGCAACGTGCAGCTGGATAGATTATAACTTATAACTTCAAGATCTCCTACACCTACAAAATATACAGTCAATTCACTTTACAATATATTCTATGAAGCACTTCGAGATGTCTCAAAGACATCATAAGGCACTATATCAAATGCAAAGATTATTATCTCACAGCATTTCACAGGTAATTCCTGTCATGAATGTGTATATGCAGGCAATGCAACTGCCAATTTGTGCACAGCACCATTACTTTGAGTATCTGGCAAGCCACAAGGTAGGTAAATAATGTCTACTCAATGTGGCGCTTAATTTAATGTTCAAGTGATCCTACTGTGTCAGGAGGGCCTACTCTGTATAAGTTCTGCCAAGAAAGTAAAAAACAAAACATATTTTAGTTGGAGCATCCCCATGTTCTCCCCTACTTACTTCCCAAAGGAATTTCTAACTTAAGAATTTGATAAAAACAAAGCTTTTGGAAACTTCACAGCCAGCAATGCCGCAGTGAAGGGGTGGGGGACGGATGGATCCAGAGAGCAGCTAACGAAGTTTATTGGCCCTAGTGTTGAGTTTGGGAGCCAGTCTTTGGATAGAGTAACTGGTTTATCCCAATCACAGATGGAGGAAGCAGTGCACACAGGTACACAGAGGCAAACACAATGCAAATGTGTGTAAATATATATATATACACACACAAACACACACAGTCTAGACACACAGACCCAGCCAACCTGTGCACTCTCAGCCTCTCGACCCTTCACATCTGACGCTTCCTCCCATGATGCGGAAGAACAAATCCTGTTTCTCTCCCCCCCCCCCACCCATCACCACCACCACAGAAAACCCACCAAACGTAAGAACCTTCTCGATCTGCTTCATGGCCGTACAAAATAATAACAATAATAAAAGCCTCTTGTGGGGAAGTGGGAGCTGAAGCCGCGGGCGCCGGTCACCGCCTCTTCTCACTTAACACTCACTTCTGTTTTTTTTCCCCCCCTCTCACTTGGCCTCCCTTTTTGCCCTCATTGGTCCGTCTCCACGCATCCTCACTGAGCCGCTAGGGCGGGCCAAGCCCGAGCCGGGGGAGGGTGAAGGAAGGAAGGGAGGAGGAGGGGGAGGTTGGGGGCGACTCGGTTACTAATATCCCTCGGTGCTCGGCCCTCGGCGCCAGGGCCTCGCAGCTGCTCCACTCGTTCGGGGCCTCCTGCCGACTGGGACCCTGTGACCGGGGCCTGACGAGACCCCGAATCCGAGGCGTGGGCCGCACGTAATTTCCTGGGGCACTTGTTGCTGCGGAGCCATTTCAGTCCGGGCCGGAGCGGGGCCGCGCCTGCGCACTCTCTTCCGCCACTCGCGCTCTCCACACCCCCCCCCTCCTCCTCCTCCCCCCTCGCGCGCTCTCACCTCTCCCGGCACTGAGCATGCGCGGAGGAGGCGGCCAGTTACTATAGAGATGCCACAAACAGTCTGAGCGAGTGAGTGACACACACACACACACACAGAGAGGGCAGGAGATCACTGACACAGTTACATATACCGTGTACTTTTTTTTTGGGTGGGGGGGAGGAAGAGGGAGAAAGGGAATGCTTTGATCCTCCCATCTGCCATTTCGAAAGGGGAAGGGGATTTTGGAAGCAAACCTCCCTCTTCTTTACCCCTCCTCTCCTCCTCTTGGCGAAAGAAAGTAAAAGGGGGTGGGGGAGGAGCTGAGGACGCACATCTTTCTTCCACCAACTGGACTGGAAACTGGAGGGGGACCTGTTTTTGTACACTCGAATTAAACAAAAACGCAAACCCTGTTATTTGTGTGGAACGTGTGTCTGGGGTGGGGGGGGGGGGGGGGTTATGGTGAATATATATTAGTTCCACGTTATGGGAGGGAGTTAATGCTGTGCCAGTCGATGCCTTGAAAAGGGAAACCGAATCTTGTTGATAGAAGAGGATTTGAGCACTGTTAATATCTCCGGTTATGTCCATGGTAATATCAGGAACCCTGAAGTCAGGGAGGGGGGCATTGCAAGGGAAGAGTAGGAGGTAGGTAGGTAGGTAGGCAGGAAGTTTTATTATGCCCCGAGCTGTGGAGGGAAACGGGTTTTGCATAGCTCAAATGGCTCTTTCCTGTTCCAGGTTTGCTCGAGTTTATAAGCGCTTGGGATTGACTGTGTGTTTCTCTCTCTCTCTCGCTCTCGCTGTTCACCCCCGCGGTGTTGCTTTGGGCCGGGTGGGTGGCACGCCATTTTCTTTCTTGGTTCCTGTCTCTTGTGAGGAGGAGGAGGAGGAGCAGCAGCTTTGCCGCCGCCTCCCTCCCGACCCACCAACCGCTCCCCTCGATTGCTGCCGTTTTAAAATAAATACAGTCGCCCATGTCACCAGCCATGACCTGGGAGAGAGAGAGAGAGCGAGCGAGTGAGTGAGTGAGTGAGTTGTGCGCAGGCGCGTCAACTGACGCTCAGCTCCGTTTCCACGGTAACGGGTTTAAAAGGGGACAAGAAGCCGCCAGAGGCCGAGGCCGGAGTTGGAGCTGAAGCTGAGCGGAAGCCCAGGACACGGTCTCGGGCTTTTGTTTCGACACCTGGACCTGATTGAGGTATTTTTTGTCGTCGTCGTCCACCACCACCACCACCACCCACCACAGGTATATTTATTTAAAATGCGAGTCAAGAGAGTTTGCGAACCAGAAGTTGATTACAACTTCTGTTGAAGACGTGACCAGTCGCTGTCATCAAATGCAAATAACAATCACTGTTATTAATTCAGTGATGACGGGGTGTGGTGTGGTGTATTGTTGGGGGTGCCATTATTATTATTATATTATTATTTAGATAGGATGTTAAACCAAGGCCCTGTCCGCTTGTTCAAGCGGACGTTGACGGTCTCAATTCAAGAAGCAAAGGGAGTTTTCACCAGCGATCCACCAGATAACATTGGTCATTCACTTTGTGGCTTGTTTGTTGGCATATTGCTGGCACAAATTGGCCGCCGTGTTCACTCGCAGAATACACCGCCCCTCCCGATGTGAAACAACACCCAACGACAACAAAACTGAATTTATATAGCGCCTTTCGGGTCGGGAGGACCTCCCAAGGTACCGAACAACCAAGGGTTTGCACCCGAGCTGGGTGAAAGATGCTATACAGATGTAAGGGATTATTATTTCATGTTAAGTTGCAGGGGGAGAGAAAGTAGTCATTTTTTTTCCCCCTCTCTTCGCAGATTTGAAGATTTTTCTTTGAACTGGGTCTTTGGGAAGTTGACCTGCCGCACCAGTACGTCGTGATGGAAGATTTCTTGGTAGTATGTAAACAGCTCCACAGGCAGCTGTTGGCAGGAGAGAGACCCAGCATCAGCAGTCAGGATCTGGCAAAGTTTCTTAATTTAGATGTGTACATGACAGACCTATCAGATCTATCAACAGACTTTCATTTATCTACTGATCAGAGAAACTGGATTCATGATACTCAGCCCAGTACACCACCATTCATGCCACCGTTGCCTGAAGATAGCCATGGCAAGCAACCTCACGAACCTGCAGTGAGTGTGAATGACAGTAAAAATGAAATTCTGCTGTTTCAAATTACTTTAATTCAGATGATAAACTCTAAAGTGAATTCCCAGACATTGGAAGAAGATATCAGGGAAACCTACACAAAAGCTATAAGAATTCTGTTGGAAGATACAGAAATTATATCTAAACTGGTAAGTGTGAACTCATTGTTAAATATATCATCTCAAATGTTACATATAATAGTTTCTTTGCATTCTTAATGATAAGGAGGATTATCTTTTGAAAAACATTCATCAATTTAATCTGTTCTCATTTTGTAATTAGTTTAAAAGATGCAGCAGGTCAATCAGCATCCAAAACTAACGGACAGGCTTTCATTAACTTTATAGATTGCAAACGCTGATCTGCTCGTTGATATTCTGTAGACTGAAGGGTACCCAATAAAAAGATGAATTAATGTTCCAGAAGTTTGCATTGGAGCAGTATAGGGAAGACTAGATATGTTACGGGAATGTTTCTTCTGTTCTGTGCTAAACATGATTGTGAAACCCTTCTGTCTCATTGTTTTGTCATTTTTAAATGTATTACTATATAAATGCATTGATGTTGTTTTGCATTTATCAGCATTACAATCCAGGACCAATCTTGCTCTGCATTTAATCAGCTTTCCTATTACAATTTATTCATAATTAGACCACAAAGCTTAATATATTATAGGTAGATCATGATTTTTTTTGTTCAAATACTACTTTTCACATTTCTAAGTAAGACTAACAGTCTGTTCTATTTGTAGATTCTTCTGTTCAAACATTCCAATCAGCTGTTGTCTCACGTCGCTATGAAATGTGTTTCATCACTAATTATTTTCCAGCTTTTTACAACAGTAAGTAATAGACACTTTTTCAAACAAATAGTCAGTTTTGTTTCGGAAATTCCCTTATTTCTTATATCTGTGTTGCATAGATTTGATTGCATGAGAAACCTAGCCTGTGAAAGAAAGAACATTGATTATAATGGTAGCTGTTGTATATCCATTTCATAGATGTCTGTGAGACATTGTTCACAAATTGGCTGCTGCCCACAGACACACACAGTCACTTCACTTTTACAGTATATGCTGTGAGACTGCCTTCTGGCATGTAAGGCACTTCACCAAATGTAAGGATTATTATAGCATTAATAAAAATAATTGTATCATTTTATTATTTATACCTGCTCCTGTTAGTGCAAAACATATATACAGAGCTACATGCTATCCATGTTATTTTTTAGTTGGAGTTTTAGCTATTTCAAGTAATTTATTGATACATATCCTTTAGTTGATAGCAGTGTATAAGTGGTTAGCTATGTATAAGTGAATTGTATGACAATACCATTTTCCCTGAATATTTTCATCATAGTTTTATCTATTATATAGTGCAATAATTGTATAAATTAATTTGTATAATACTTCCATGTTTCTAATATCAGACTAAAATTTTTATGTTACTGAATTTTAACAAGAGGTCACTATGGTAAACTGGGAAGAATAATAAACTGGGAGCCAGTTTAACCTGTGGGAACCCTACTTTCTTATCACCTATAAGAGAATTTTTAAATATGCTGTAATAGGGAATGCTTGAAATAATTAAGCACTTGGCATCCTATTGTCCTTTAATTAGCCTATCTACCAAGATTAAATACACTAGAATGTTTTAAAACTATATTATAAAACTATCAACCATATATCTAAAAAGGTAATGGCTTTCATTATTCAATGCTTTGCAGAATTCCACTGCCAATTATACATCCAATCTCAATGAAAAATTGAGACTTTTCTAAACTTTATTTCAGTATCAGATACAGAATTGAGAGTGTCAGAAACCCAGTGACAAGTGAATTAGCAAATGAGGAGAGATTCAACACATTTCAAATTCAATCCGTTTAAAATAAATAAATTATGATTGTTTAATATTCCATATCAAAACCCACATTCCTACTATGAAGGTGCGATTAAGCTTTCATAGTTTCAGAATCTAATTCCATGAGCACAGGCTCTGGGGACTTCAGTACCCTTTTTAGTTAGCATGAAATATTGTTAAGGTTTAATATTCAAATGTTTTATTGTATACATGTCTTATTTTAGGATTTATCCAGTGATATCTGGTTTAAGACATGCATTCAGACTTTGTCAGAGGACCCTCGGAACACCCAATCAGCAAAATGTCTGGAAATTGTTGCAGCTGTATTGAAAGGTGTTTTAGAGGGAAAATTTCCAAACAAGACAGGTTAGTGATTTTTTTCATTAATTAACTGTAATCAATCTTTTTAGATGTCAGAATCATTGATGTTCAGAATATTTTGTCTGATGTGGTAGGTAGATTATGATGGGAGTCTCGGTGAGTGTTAGATTGAAATTGTTACAGGTTTTCACTATAGTTTGTGTGACATATTTATTATTGGTGATGTGTGTATTATGGGTTGTGGATGAAGGTTCAATTCTGGAAAATAACTTCAAAACCTTGGTATTAACTGCAAACAGTTGGTAAGATAATACCTGCTTTCTGCCGAGCTGGATTATTAATTTTTAGACAGTAGTTCGATGCAACAGTTTGGCCTCAATTTTCTAGAATATTCCAAAATTCCACTGCCAAATACTTACCAATCTCATATGTAATGTAATATTTTAAATATACAATTCTCCACTTTTGCAGTGATTATAATGAAACTCCTTTCCCCACTGGATGCAATATTTGATGGTTTGAACACCTTCATGTTTTCTTCAAATTTTATTGACTCCAGAAGAAACAATGCTGCAGAAAGCATTGGGAGTGACTTTGATCCTACAAATAATCTGCTAGCCATCATAGATGTACTTGAAGTTTTCATTGCCATCAGAATCCAGCTGAAACTAGATTGTTCTTGTCTGAGGACTTTATACTTGCGGACCGCATGCATGTTGGACTTCATCAATTCCTCTGCTCATTACTTTGTTAAAAAGAAGTTGCTTTTGGTGATCAAACAGTGTATTCTTTGCCAGTTTGGTGAAAACTTTGCCGAGAGGTCTTCATGTGTGCTACCCCAGCAACACACAAATTTTCAAAGTGACCTGTTGGCTGTATCTAATACCGTTTTGCAAGTTTTGGTATCCAATTGGTTGGAACAGGTTCCTGTCAGTCCCAAGGCCTGTTTGTTTGGTGGCAATGAGATACTTGGCGATGAGGATTCAAATTGTGGGCCAGACCTGGTGATGCTGAGGACTGTGAGTCTCATTGTGGTGAAAGCTTTGGAAATCAAAGTGCAGAACTGGTCATTTGAAGGTGAAAATAAAGGTAACTAGAATCCATCTAAAGATTTAGCAATGATTGAAAATGACATTTATAATATATGAATTGTTTTTATAATTTAGGCTTGTGAGAAATGTGCAGGATAACGTGAAATGATTATTGATGGAATCCTTTGAACATTTAAGTTCAGTGGTTAGAGCACTCGCCTCGCAAGAGAGAGACCTGAGTTCTATTTCCGGCAGGGTGAAATGTTGGGCAAGTTTCTTTACTCCACACGCCTCTGTTTACCTAGCAGTAAGTAGGAACCCAGTTATTAGTTGATTGGTGGATTGCTTTTCCGGGGATAATAATCCTTCAAAAAAATAAACAATAATAATATTGAATGTTTCATATTGTTTTACATAGGTAACTTTTTAAATCGAGAAATGTACATACATTTGATGACGTTGATCAGAAAGGATGCAAATTTATTCTTGAATAATTCCCCTTAACCACCTTCATTCTCTACTGCAATCTTTCCTCATGGCTTCCTCTTTACACCTGAGTTTATTCTATTTCAGGCATTCCCAAATAGTGGCTAGTAAGCGAGTCCAGCACATAAAGGCATTTAATCCAGATTTCACACATTCCAGCAGTCAGTGTCATCTGTGTCCTAGTAGAGACAGCTGTCATACTGACAAACTGGAAGTTGCACTTAACACAATATATGTAGCTTGCAACTAACATAAATCAGACCCCAATGTTTTGGGAACGCTAAGCAAACCACAATGAAATTCTTTCTGTGTTTCTCTCAGAGGATCTGAATGTTCAGCTGCAGACTTGTATACATCAGCTGATGATGTTCATAAGAACACACCTCAAGTCTCCTGCACATTCCAAACGTCTCATTCACTCTTGTGCCTGGGTGTCCCTGGTTTTCCTGGAGCAGGATGATGATATGGTAGAAGCAGCCAGGGCATTATTGAACATCTATATACACTCTGTCAGGTTGGTAGTTCTTGTTTGATCCTATGACTGTTGTTGCTTTATATATGATTAAAGGTCCAGAAATGTGTTTGTAGTTACAAGGATCTCTGTCAAAAATGATCTAAAGTTAATTTATTATTGGGCCAGTTCATTTTGAGAGTTTTAATTTAGCATTTTACTGTAGGTTTCCACGCAGTTTATTAGTGTTATGTAATCATATTTACACAATTTGATTGATACTGAAACGTAATTTTAAAAAATTGTGACAACTCAATGAAACATGAATGTATTTCTTCTAATTTTCACTCCTTCCTCCCCTGAAGACTATAATTCAATAGTCTCTGGTACTTTGCCTGAGTGGCTATTTTTCATCTGAGAACATAGACCATGACAGTTGACAAGTTATTTGGCTGTGGAAAGCATTACTATCAAGGTTTGTTCCAGATTCTCACCAGACATGTGCATAGTAATGCTTCCCAGCAGGAGGCATTCTTGCAAATCCTGAGCTAACTGTGCTCTTACCTATCCCAACCCGACTCCCACGCCGGGAGTGCTGTGATCCATTGCAGTATGTCCTAACTGAAATTAATTTACTCAGCTCAGAATAGGGACTGACCATGTGCATTCTGGAGGAAGTGACGGCAACTACACTTCCAGCGCATAGCTTATTTGTGCACAAATAGTGAAAGCAGCAACCTGACAATTCAGAATACGCCCCTTTTTTGGACTTTGTTTGAATGTGGGGTGAGGAGGGGGAATATGAATTTATGGACTTAGACCACTGTGTTATAGCAGTGTTGCCCTGTATGTACATTTTCACAGAATTTATAACTGTTTTATTTTTTGTTGCAGATTTTTTGATGCCTACCATGGCGAAAGGGGAGTCAACTCTCTTAATGCACATGAGAGTTGTTTCAATCCACATTGCATTTTCCTGTTGCTTTTAAACAATTTGACATTTGATCATTGTGTGCTTCTTGACTTCCTGATTTCCGCTGAGACCTGCTTTTTGGAGTACTTTGTCCGATACCTAAGGCTTCTTCGAGAGGAATGGCAATGTTTCCTTTGCATTTGCCGTCAATTTGATGAAGCTGAACTAATTTGTCCAGCTGTAGCTAATGAAGACAGTAAACATAGTGATGGAGAAAAACAAGAAAGAACTATCGCTGGCACTGAAGGCAGTAAGGGATATCCATGGGAACATGTGCCACAGGCAGTTCTCAACCTCTCAGCATGTCACATTTTAACACCTGAGGAAGAACAAAGAAAGGACAAAGATACTGCAGACAGTAGCAAATGTGGAATTTTGATAAATAGTAGTAAGTTCTGCCTGGGTGGCCAGTCTCAAGGTCTAGTAGATTATGCAAACTCTGAAGATTCTGACTCTGAATCAGTAGAAGTGCCGGAGTTTAATATTTACAGCCAGGAAGCCAATCCAATTAATAATAGTAAGATAACTAAACTAGCTAGTGTCAATACAATAAAAGATTCAGAAAAAAATAATTGTAATCTTGATACAAGAGATCCTGGAAATTTAAGTTTGGATTATTGTGATGAAAAGGATACAAATATGTGTGCATCCTCGGGGACAGTGTTTAACAAATCAGTTACATGTTTGATTGAATTGAAGAAAACCATTGCCAGGTTACAGGGAAGAAATCTTTTTCCTTATAATGCAATAGCATTGCTAAGACTGCTGTTTCAAATTGAAACACTTAGTGCCACTACACTACATGAATAAATCTGAATAATTGTGTCAATAGTGGAACTGTTGGCTCCATAATCATATGACTCACTAAAAGGATCCCGTGTTAATTTTTTCCCTCTTTGTTAATGTGAGTTTTTACTTCTACTAATAATATTTTATTAATAATAATGATAATAATCCCTCAAGAAAAAAAACAATAACAAATTGGTCACTTATTGACAGTTTGTGGGACACTGCTGTGCGCAATTGGCTGCCGTGTTTCACCCACAAATATACAGTCAATTAACTTAACAGTATATTCTGTGAAGTGCTTGGAGGCGTCTAGAAGATGTGAAAAGCGCCATATCCAATGCGAAGATAACAATAATAATAAACTCGGTTTCATTCTGTATTCTTTTGATTTGCAATACCTACTTGTAAATAAAAGTAAAATGAGAACCATCGCTGTGGAAACGCCATTTGATTGAGTTAAGTGAATCTGTGCCAAAATGAATGGACTTTGGGAAATCTTTGTTTAATGGTTATCAGCATATAATGTGGTAAAGAAAAGCTAACATTTTAATTTAACTATCAAGAGTTGTAATAAGACAGGAATAGCAGTGTGTCTGCTATTTTCACTGAACCAAATTAGGAATAATCAATATACTTGATCAGAATGGATGAAAGCAAATACTAAATCTTTTTATTCAAATGAAAAGCATAATAATAATAATCCTTGCATTTGTTATAGTGCTTTTCACGTCTTCTAGATGTCTCAAAGAGCTTGATGTTCCATCACACATGTCTCAACCCCTTTCCCATGCTTTCCAGAGATCAATAGACAGTATGGCTCTCTATGAGGCTATAAAATTAATTAATTAATCAATTGCACCATATTGGAGGATCTACCTTTGCCCCAACAGTTCAGAATTTGGTATTTAGGAAGGGAGGGTTCCCTGCATTATGGAAGATATCTGCATTACTCATATCATGATAATTACCAGTTCCGTCTCTCCTCCCACCGCTCATTAGAGCGGACATTTCTTAAAATGAAACCAGCTAATCCTTACATTGCGGGGATGGGTGATATTTTATACAGTATTTTGCAACAGTTGTACAACCATTAATGTCCAGCTGGTGGCACTATTTTTACTATTTGCAACAGTGTAACCAGCAGAGTATAAATTGTACTGTAGCCTTGATCCATAATTACCAACCAAACCCAAAATTGTCATGGAAACATTTTAAATATTCAACTTGGGTTTGGGGGTAGCATCCTCTGAGGTAGAGTATTTCCACAAATTAATATAGTACTACTTTTTAAGATTGTGGAAGGAAAGCTAGATAATTATACCTGTGTTCCTAGTTTATGTAACATACCTGGAATTGTAGGGACTTAATCCAGGGTGTATTGGTTGACTCGTTGCTCATCATAACAGTGTATGCATAAATATATCAGTACAAGAAACTACAACATATCGATAAAGGAACTAGACAAGTTCCTGTGACCGAAAAGTATTCAGGGCTATTACATTTAGAGATAGATTTATCAAGGAAATCTTGTAGAAAATTGGATGGATAAGTTCAAGTCTTGTTTGAACATTTTTTATGTTACTTATTTCCTCCTTTTTTGTCTAGATATTGCCAGGTTTTGATTTACCCTAGGCATTAAGAAATACAGTGCAACTATTTGATAGGCTGCTGGGAAGTACGTGAGAGCAAAACTTTGACAATTGTTCTTCCATCTTGCAGATTGCTGCTTGGCATCTCTGTAGAGCACATTTGAGCTCAGCGTTTATGACTTATTTATCTTGCATACTACCACAAACTGCAGCCCTAGCTTCAGTGACACAACTGTAAATGAAACAAGGTGTAATTTTTGCCTTCAGATATAATAATAAACCTTGCATTTGATATAACACCTTATCACGTCTTCAAGATGTCTCAAAGCACTTCACAGAATATACTGCAAAGTGAATTTGACTGAGTGTGGGCAAAATTTACACTTACAGCCGCCTTGCAAAACTAATAATGTTTTCTGCTCCTGCAGGAAACAGTGCGCAGAGAGCCTGCCTCGCCGACCGTATGCAGTATGTTTTTCTGGTCAGGCTGAGATGTAAACTCACTTCCACAAATGGAATTCCTGGCTTGTGCATCAAAGCACCTGAGCAGTTAATTTCTCCTTGTTATCAAAGCTTTTAATTCTACCCTGTGATGTAAACAGTGAAGGGACCAAGCACCAGATTCTGCAGAGTTCCTCAGAACAATACCTGTTTGAAACAGTTCTGTATAAAGGTAGCCAGGCTAGCTCATCACCAGTCAATGTGGGGGCAGGGAGTCATCCCACTCAGCTCTTATTATCCCTGCAAGCCAAAGACCAAACGGGTTGGGTAATTCTAGGTGGGCAAGAAAGCTCGCCAGACAGTGGTTTCAATGGCAAGCTATGCAGTTATAGCTGGTTGGACTCCAGCAGTTAACCCAACGCACATTCTAGGTCCCCAAGCCTTGGCTCTTGCCATCCTGCCCCTTATACTTTACGGGACTAGATAAGCACAATGCGTCCCTCCACGGAGAGATCAGCAATTCATTCCAACAAATATCTCTGGAGTTTTCATGTGGGATGCATGGAACTCTTGTTTGGATACTCTTTTTAAGCATGATGGTGGGTTTTCGCATGTACCAGACACCTGGATAATCCTCCAAAAAACAAATGTAAAGAGGACATTACAATTGTCGGGGAAAACTCCATTACCAGCCAGCGCTGCACTGCCACAAATAACCTATCACTCCTTCCCATTTGCAAAACCTGGCTCTACCACTGGAGCACTACATTATTATTTACCTGAATTTGTTTAAATAGTTAAAAGCTACCAATCCAGTTCTGTTTTCTCTGTTAAAATGTGAAACTCATTTGATTTAGGGTGGGGCCAACATGCTGGAAAGTAGGAAATGCAGTATTGCTTAAGTCCTTCTTGCAAAAAAANCTTGCCAGATAGACCCTGAACAAGGAAATCATCACCAATTGTTTCCACAAATGATTATTTTAGTAAATATTTCACCAATTGTGGAATTTAGCAGATCAACAAATAGCAAAGGGAACACAAAATTACTGGACAAGTTCTACAAATCTGTCACTGGAATTCTTAAAGCTAAGGTTACTAAGAAACTTTCACACAGAAGGTTGTTCAAGCATGGAATGTTTTGTCACACGTAACTATTGGGATTGCAGCCCTTAAAGAAGAGGAGGATAGTAAGATCAATATCCGGAAAAACAACATATAGAAGCAATTAAAAGATGAAATAATAAGTTAGAAATACGAAGGAGCAGGTAATGGGTCAGCAATGGATAGTGAAACGTTGCAAAGGTCTTGCACAGCTCTTGTTTCAATACAGATGGGAGCTTGGTTTAACGTCTTATCTGAAGGATGGCAACTCTTTAGGAGTCCTGTAGCTCAGTGGTTAGTCCATTCACCTTGCATGCAAGAGACCTGAGTTTGATTCCTGGCAGGCGAAACCTTGGGCAAGTTTCCTTACTCCCCATGCCTGACAACAATCTTTCAACACAAAAAAAATAATAATTTGGTCATTCAATCCACGACTGTTTGTGGGACACTGCTGTGTGCATTGGCTGCCGTGTTTCACCAACACAATATACAGTCAATTCACTTTACGGTATATTCTGTGAAGCGCTTTAAGATGTCAGATGACATGAAAAGCGCTATATCAAATGCAAGGATTATTATTTTATTATAACCTCAGCAATGCAATGTTCCCCAGCCCTGAATCGCAAACGTCACCCTATGAGCTCCTACTATTATTATTAGAAGAAGTAAAAGAAGCAATATTACAGTACGGTACCCCAACTGTTGCCAATAAGGGGACGGGAGATCCCACTGTATGTGAGTTTAGGCTATCGTTTGACCTGTGACCATACAGAACCAGCCCTGTTTGATGTGCCCATAACTGTACCATCTTTTGCTCCCAGCTGCTTTCATTACTTAAGGCATTGACTACTATTTTGCTTAAGCAGGACGAGTTATTGTCAGTGTGCTACACTGAAGCATTTTGAGACATGTTCCAATGTGAAAAGCGCCATATCAAATGTCAGAATTATTATTATTATATCCAATGACATCACACATCTCATGCATATGTGTCTCCTATAATAAAGAACCAGATCATCACCAAATATTGGCAGTGAGTCCTGAAAAACAAGGAGTGAAGTAATGCTATTCTTGGCAGCAAAGACCATCTTGTTGCCACAGGTCAGGTTTGTGTGGGTACTACCAGGGTTCTGCACATGTTCTTGATGAATTTAGTTAGTTATAGAACTACATTTTAATTTTAAACAGTAAGCTTCTTAAAAAAATAAAGACGTTACAGGACTTTTTTTAAAAAATTCTTGAACAAGCAATACAGATTAGCTTTAATTGTTTTGAAGTTTATTTTAATTTGCATATCTAAATGGATTTAAGCAGTCGGTGCACTGACTTGAGCTTTTGTGAGGCAATACGCCCTTAAGGTGTAGTTAAGCATACTATCAGGTTAGTCAGTGCAGGAGCATTAACTGAGGGTGTGACCTTAGGATTTTCAACGAACCTCACTGACTGTGTGTGTGCACATGTACCGTAGTAGAAACTTACAAGATAACTAGTGTTTGAATCATTAATCCCTCGTGTTGCTTCTGCCATCCCTCAGTTTGTGTGTTTCACAGTAGAGAAGTAAAGGTAAGTTGAAATTCTCCTTTATTTCCTGTGCTTTTTTTAAAAAATCTAGATTTGCCTTAAGTAAACCTCTGCTGTGTGTCTGCTTGTCGGGTTGTCTAGGCCTTCGAAGCAAACTGCAAGTTATCACAGTAAAGTTGAAGTAGTTACAGAGATTTATAGATGACTCTGCTGTTCAAGTGAAGAAACGTCTCAGTTTACCCTGCAGTGCTTTCACTTAATTTACACATATTCAGTATGGATAAGATAGTTCCACTTTTGTGTGATACCAAGATTGCTTTCGTTTCGGATCAACACAGTACATATAACATCATACTACCAATGTTAAGAAGTCAGAGTGATTTATTAAAGAAAACTTTGATGCAGATCATGAGGTGGTAGAAGAGGAAATCCTTGCTACAGCAGCATGAAGTGTGGCGTTTTCTGTTTCTTGAATTAGCAGCCAGGAATGCAGTTGACATAAAATATCTTGCCAAACCAGTCATAAAGTTGGAGAGTGGGGTGTGCTAACAGTGGACCTTAGAATGAAAGCTGGAATAACCGAGTAATTTTATAGCTCTACTTCTACTAGTCTTTTTTTAAAAAAAAGTTTATGTAACTTTTATCTGATTAAGGCCAAGAAAAAACTGGGAATAGTTTACCTTGAAGAAATTTGTGTCAGTTGGCAGGTGTACTGTTTTTTCCCTGGAATCCTAATCTGTGCCAGCACACCTCATTACCAGTTACACCTTTGTTTTACATGAGGCAATGCATGTCTCCCCTGATGATTCAGTGAATTTATTCCATTAGTACCCGAACTGACAGGGGAATGTTCCCAGGTTTGATTTCCTTAAAATCAGAACGAAACAATTTGAGGGTGAAATCAGATGTTACTTTTCGCACAGAAGATTGTGGAAGTGTGACATTCACCACCACAAAAGGTTGTTCCTTCTGGTCAATTTATTATATTTAAGTGAGAGGTGGATGGATATTTGGAAGGCACGACAATCAAAGGTTATGGTGAAAGGGGAGGGAAATAGTATTAAGTTACAGATCAGCAATGATCAAATAAAATGATGGAACAAGCTCAACTATTTGAATGCTCAACTCCTGTTCCTATCTTATATTATCTGTGGGGAGTGAGTTGATCTCGGTTGGAATGGCAATCGAGGTGCTACAGTCCCTATTGATTCCTAGCCATTGACCAAATAGATTGACTGTAGGTTCATATGTGAATGATCACGGATGATTTGGAAAAGGGAAAAAAGTAGTTTAATCATCCTCAAGAGAAGGAGAGGAAATTGGCAGTGAAAATCTTAAGATGAATTTTGCAATAATATATGCTATACTTATCTTGCAAATTCTTTATAAAACTGCATGCAAATAGCAGTCTAGGATATGTAATGTGATTGACTGTTTTTCTAAAAAAATTCTTAAGGATGATGTAAAGCAAATTTAACTCATCATTTTCTCTCCTTGCTTTACTATTCAGAGTCAGGCTTTGCCACTGTTAAGCGCTCTGAGATGCTATCTGTGTGGAGGGCGCTATATAAGTGCAAGTTGCTGTTTGTTATTTGAAGGTTTATTACTTGTTCTGAGGTGCGCTTTCACAGATGCTACTTCAACCAAGTATCCAGTTTTCATCTGGTGACTATGTAGGACTGGGATGGGACGATGAATTCAAATGAGCCTTGGCCTTCTTCATCCAAACCTCTCTTGTGTTCTTACTTCCAGCAAGAACTTATTGGTTATTCTAGTCAATTGATCACTATGTGGCAGCAACTCTGATTTTTGTCTTCCTGAATTCAGGCCGATTATATTGCCCTATTGAGATGGTGTCAGTATTGCCTTGGGTGGAAAAGGGAAAAAGTAATGGAAAAAGGAAAAAGGTCAGCATTTATGGTCTGAGTGGCTCAATACCACACGATGAATCACGTTCATTCATTGATAAAGTTTGAATACACTTTGATAATCGTGGATAGCTCCCCTGAGCGTAAACATTTTAGGAGTGTTTAGAAACGCTATTCTTCTTTTGAAAAAAGCTTTTCCTTCAATGATTCACTTTTGTGCAGTTTGTTCCTGGTCTCCCAGTAAAGTAAAGCACTGACAGGCTTTTTGTTGTCGCTCCTTTGTACGGATTAGAATAACTGTGCTGGATTTGTTTAATACAATAACTTGAATTATAATTCTATGCATTATTACTGGTGCTTTCATTCATCAGTGGACTATCCAAATGTTGCCCTGAGGTACAGTAGATTTTTACAATGGTGAGGAAGATGAGGACTTTACTGTGACTAATCTGTTCACAAAGTGACTTGATGGAAGCTGCTCCCAACACTGCCTTTTGCTCAATATGTTGCATCTGTCTCTTGTCCCGTTTATCAACCAACATCATTTGAACTTAGAAGAAATGCTGAGCCATAATTATCCCCCCCCCATTTCATACATACTTTGCGTCACATTCTGTGTGCTCCCAACTGTATTTATATCAACATGCGTATGTTTATATCAGTGAGGTTTGCACAGTCACTTGAAAGGATTTTAATCACTCAGCCAAATGGCACATTTCAGTACAATCGCGAGGAGAGAACGCTATGTTTTGTGGAGAACATTGAGCTGAACCCAGGATGGTACTGGGGAATTCTATAAATTGTTGAACGGGGAGGGTTTTATGCTTCGTTTGGGCATGGGTTGTCAGTTGGGATATATTTTCACTGTTTCATACAATGTTTGAAATCTGATATGTCATATGGAGGATGATCTTAATAGAAATGTTTCCTAGATACTGGCTTCAAGTATCTGTTTAATATTTCACTTAGTATCCCAGCCTTATTCTTTAACAGAAGGGCCATTTTATTTGCTTTGGCTCACAATCAGTTGAGTTTTAATTATTCCATCAAAGTTCAAACTAATGTGCATTTAGAACTGCTATTATCTGTATACAGTAAAACTAACTGAGTGTGGTAGATATGTCCATAAATTGAAAGTTGTGTAAAAAGCTTTAGTTTACCTTTTGCCCTATATGTAACCAGAGTTTTATTTGCTATTTTTATCCCATTAGGATGTTGCAGTCAGTGAGTGATTGGTTTTGGTGGGATCATCTCTGGCTACCTCGAAATCTAACATGGACAGATCTTGAAGATCAGGATGGCTACGTCTATGCCAAAGTCTCTCAGTTATACATCACTCTGCCCTTTGCTGTTGTTTTTATCATAGTTAGATATTTCTTTGAAAGGTAAAGTACAGCATTTCAATAAATTGTTTGTTATGATGACCGTAATAAATAGAAGGTTGAATTGGGGGAATATGCATATTCATTAGTTTAAGTGCTTTGAAGAAGGGAAGGAAAAGACTTGGTGCAATGAATAACCAAGACAAAATAAGGAGATGCAATGTTTCTTGTTGCAACCAGTTATACTGCAACATGTCCAATATTTAATTCCAAATGTTTATTGTAGATGAGTCAGGACTAAAATATAGTAAAATACACTAAAATATCTTTATTTGCGAAGAAACATTTGGCAGTGGATAATTGTGAAACAATTTAACAAATGACTGACTTTGTATATGGATTGTAAGAACAATGATAATTATCCTTAGTTAATGTGAATAGTTTAGATGAGTTATGTTTTCCTTGATTTCCCTCTTTTAGCATTGTGTGACTGGAACACATCTCATAGGTTTAAATTTCTACAAATGATCAATCTGAGCTATTAACAGCTGAGTTTAGTTATGAATCAAATAACTGGTACATTAACTGTTTGATTCCATAGTTTCCTTTGTTTTGTGAGATGTAGTTTTCCCCAGATATGCAAACTGTTGCTTAGCCCATGAAACTCACTGTTATAATGCAAAAGATCATTCTCCGTTCTTAGTAAACCTTCCTCTTCGACCATGCTTATGGGCACCTCCCTCCCCCCCGGCTCGGAGTCAGACTCTGCCACTGTTAAGCATTCTGAGACCCTACCTTGCATGGAGGGTGCTATGTAAGCCCAAGTTGTTGTGTTGTTAATATTAATGTACATTCTTCATGGATGTACTTGCACATAGCAGCCTCTAAGTAAGCTAATGAGAACAATTCCATCTGAATTCTGTAAGTTCTTTGCTTTGAACCTTTGTCAGGGCGTTCACTGATTTGTTTTATGTTCCCAGATTGATAGCTACACCTTTTGCCAGAGTTCTCGGTCTTAAGGACAAAGTGCGTCTGAAGGTGGTGCATAATGCCATTTTAGAAAAGTTTTTTACATCAATCACTAAACATCCAACCCAGGTATGTTTCTGTATCCAGCTGATCTGTAAAAACAAATGATCACTTTACATAATCCAGATCCGATTGTTACATTTGAGATTAGACTGAGATCTAATGTATTCTACCCAAACTGATGGGAAGGGCTAATTGTGATTTCATCTTGTGAGTATTGAAACTTTTTAATTTGACGTACTTGAGAAACGGCCTGTTGACATTTCTGAAGGTTGAACAAAGCACTCCTGAGCAATTTTACACTCCTTATCACACTTTGCAAGCTATTTTTCTATTGGTGCTCGGGTGTTGCCAGCTTTATCACCCTTCCCACCATCTGCTGATATGAACTAATGTTGTAAAACTCAAACTTCAATACTGCCTTCATGATCTGTATAAGCTCAATATCTGTATGACTAACAACCGTGATGGATCTATCTCCTGGCTTCATTGGCATATCAGTCAGGGAAACTTGGAGGACATAAATCTTTCCTGCAACCTGACACTATCAGTTGAATTTGTTTTTAAAGTTTGCACGCTTTAGTTGGCTGTGTAAACCTATTGATTCAATAGTGTACTTTGTTTTTTCGCAAACAAAATACAAGACATGGATGAATGGGGGTGGGGGGGAGAATGGTTCCTGAGTAACCAATCTGAGGTTCAATTCAAATTTTTGTTTAGAGTTTAATAAATCTTAAATCGACTTCATTTCTCTTTTGAAAATGACTTGTAGAAAGGGCCCACTTTGCCCTATCGCAAAACTACAGATAAAAGCTTAAGTCAACAGTTGCAGTGCCCTGGATTGTAAATGTTTTCGGGTGTGTATGTTTGACTAATGTTAATGAATCATGATGTAACTCGGAGATGCAAAGTTCTATGTATCCAATGCACCTTTAGGGAGTTCATACAGTTCAGTCAGTCCTACTAAATAGTCCCCTCAATGCCTCAGGAGTGAACACTGGCCAAATCAATGCTGAGTTCTATTTGTCCTAAATGACTCCATCCTTTCATTTTTATTTGTTTTCCGAAGCCCTATTTATGGGAGACTTTGCATGAATCCTGATGGTAGTACCATATCGCCTTGATCCAAACATAACAATAATTGACCAGCTGGGCCCATTCATCCTCTTGTTCTCCGACAAAACAATGGCAGCTGTGATTGGAGTACATGTCATTTCTTGTAGATTTCAGCTTTATCAACACAGTAACAAATGGAACCTAGAACAAAGGCTTCCAGAAAGTAGGCTGTGTATTGGGGAGGTTCTTAGTTATTTCGGAAATAAAATTAGGTGTAAGGGACAGTTAACTCTTACTGATCTTAAGAGGCTATGTGTTAGTTCTGACATTCTACAGTTTCCATGTTAACCATGACATTCTACATCTGTATTTTCTGCTACATTTTTGCTTCTATTTGAAATTATTTCTACAACTTTTTTCAGTTGGCGGAGGAGAGAAATTTACATTTAATGAATTTTTTTTGGAAATTATGGAGAATTCCTTGCACTAGAATATTTATTTTTATTAAACTTCAGCTCCTACGCTCCTCATACCTTTATCATGTATGGTACTTTGGAGTGCTACTTTGGCAGCTGGAACAATCGTAATGACATTGCTATTTATTGGCAATGCTTGTATTGCATATGACTTTCATGCATGATCAATGTGGTTCATGAGCATTTGATATGTGCATGATATTAATTATCATTAAACCTTAATAAGGTTATGCTACCATTAACCCTGGTTTCCCAGCCATGATTCTTACCACATGTTTTCCACTTGCTTGCATGCCCTTCAGAGGAAACAGCTGTGCTGGCAGTTTTCAGCTCTTCAGGAAACTGATGATCTTGGGGCTTTTATTTTCACTCGGGGTTGTTTTTTTTCTTGCTTCAAGCCACTGGCAGCTCTGTCTTTCTTCAGGCAAATGAGCCTGTTGTTCGGAATAGTTACCGATTAGGAAGGGAAATATACCTTATATTTGAAATTTCTCTCATTTAAAGAACCATTTCAGAGTGAAGCTTAAAAACTGATTTCTGCAGTATGTGAGGTGTTCTATTCCTCATGTGGCCAGCAGGTAAGGTATCCCCATAGAGGATGAAGTAAACTCCCTCCCTTCTATAACTGTACTTAAGCAAAAGGACACGGCATTGAGCTTTAACCTGTTTTTCACTACCTTCCAAGAAAAAAAGTTTTATTGTAAAAATAATTCGAAAACTCAATCAGTTAGTGAGAGCACAAATGATCCAAATCATTCAGTTCAGTATGATTATCTTCAAGAGGTGTGCTGTCTCGTGAATTTCTCTTCTGTGACCATTTTACTGAGTCAAAACCACATGCACAAGGCGCCACGGTTTTAAAATGTTTTATTAGTTGGAGCAATGTTGAATAAGCATTTCATCAAATGAGTATGCTCACTGCGGTGATTCTACTTAACATCACTGGTTCAATTTGTTTCCACAAAATCGGTGTTAATCTTTTTGATATTGATCAACTCATTTATGTTGACAAAGCATCTCAGTTGAAAATTTTAAAAGCTAAGTTCTTGGCGGTCCATTAAGGATTTAACATTTTTTTCAATAGTGAATGAGTTTCTTGGTTCTTTAATAATAAGAATCAACTGGTAACTTGGCACCATGGTTGTTTTCTGTTACCAGTAGGAGGTTGGTAATCCGCATCTCTCTTTATTCGGGAACAGCAAGGAATGGATGGCATGAGCCGTCTTCTCCCAGCAAACTTCAGCCCTGCTTCCGAGACAAGCTCTGGCATTGACACACAGACAATCCAGGGAGGCAGATGTTGAAGGCAGATGTAGGCAGATGTCAGCAAATTCAAGAGGAAATTAGATAGCTATTGGCGAAAAAATTGGTTTATTTACTTTGGCACAGGCAGAACAGTTTGCAATGGTTTCTTCTGGTGATGTATATTACTATGTACTTGCCTGTCAGTCTCCTTATCCTACATTATGAAAACTGCTTTGAGACAACTCAAATAAAAAAAAACTCCTTTGAGACAAATCTTGTGAAATCACAAGGAATGCATTACAAAGCTAGCAGTTTGCTCATTACAACTGTTTTTAAAACATTGCAAACGGATGAATTTTCCTTCACCCAAATTCACATCAAAACCTGTAAATTTATATATTTTTAAGAGAACATTACAAGGGATCCAAAGTGAAATATATTTTGTACAGTGATAAATATAGTTTGATAATATTGATTCATGTTTTGGCAAGCAGGATAATGTTGGTTGTGTTCTCTGTTGTGTTACAGCCACAGATAGAAGGATTAGCCAAAAAAAACAGCTGTACCCTACGTCAAGTGGAGAGGTGGTTTCGAAGGAGACGCAATCAAGACCGACCAAGTTTGTTGAAGAAATTCCGAGAAGCTTCGTAAGTTTCAAATTTTATCATTTTGGGTGTGATCATTGTAAACGTAGTAAAGTTTTTTTTTAAAACAACCAGCGTTACGCTATAGTTGAAAGACATATGATCTGTTCAGATTAAAATGCTTTTGAGAGATCAGAATGAAATCTGGACAAAGAAACTGTATTGAGACTGTCCACATAAAAATAAATAACTCCAATTTCTCAATTGATGAATACAATTCTTGTGATTGTAATCCATGGCGATCTAGAATATTTCTGATTCTCACACCCTGATTTGCACTGAGTTAGTTGATCTATGTGGTTGGTACTGCTTGCAATTCTTGCTCTCAACAAAAAGTTTTTATATACTGTACTAGGAGTTGGAAAAAACACACCGATATATATTCGCACATTCTGAGACTTTTGTCCTGTGACATAGGTTGCTAATCTATGACTAACTGTAAAAGATGGAGGGTAAGGTCTGATGATTTCTGTTTACAAGAGTGTAGAGGGAATGGCTCTTATCAGAAATGAAGTCACAAAAATGCATACTACAAATCTGTACTTTGGACTTACTTGAACCAAGTAGCATTTGCTCATGATTTAGTAAGAGCAAAATAAATATCCTGTAAAACCCACATAGACCCTTTATCAAGAATAACCATGGAGGAAAATTAGTTTCCTTTTCCCATTCTCCCTTATTACTACTATTATTAAAGCAAATTGACTGTATATTTTGTGGGCACAAAATATTTCAATAAATAAATGCATTCTTGTGCTCTGGCTCTCCCTCCCTCAGTCAGCCACTGCCCTGGTTTAAATCACAAAGATCACGTTTATTTTTTTTTCAATCAGTGACTGACTTTGTCAGTTTTATTTAGTTAGTGTTCTACCTGCTGGTGAAACAAAATGCTTCTGAATAACTTGTCATTTATTTGCATGGTCAAATTCAGTTAAACAACCTTTGCTGTTTACCTGTCTTCACGTTATTCTGGATGAGTACTTTTAACATATCTTTTAAACTGTTTTCCTTTCAGTTGGCGATTTGTATTTTACCTCCTGGCATTTAGTGGTGGCATTGCAGTTCTAATCGATGTAAGTACCTTGTGCTTTATTACACCCATCCTATGATTTGCCAAACAACCGGCATTTATTGGTGAACCTAATTTAATACAAAAATTAATATTGAGTAAAGTTTAATTTGATGCATTATTTCATCAGTGTTTTTAAAACTCTTATTTTCCATGTCAATACAATTGTGTTGGCACAACCTCAAATACACTTAAACAAAGCAACTGAAACCCATTTAGATTTGTAAATGGCAAATCCTACATTGTACATCCATGTGTCAGGCTTACTCTTTTCTAACTTCCCTCCTCCACCCCCCCCCCTCCACCCCCAGACCCCCCACCCCACCAGATCGGTGAAGAAGGCATTTTTCTTTTAGCTCAATAATAGTTAAACATGTCTCTCTTTCAACTTTCTTGAATTCAGAAACAACTGAGCAATCAAGCGATTGATGCCAACTGTTTCAGAGACCACACAACCATTACTGTAAACTTGTCACTCTGCGTAAGCAATCCTGTTAGAACACATCAGAGGCCATGCAAACCATTCAGCAGAATATCTTGAAGTGTCTACATTGAGTCAGATCTTGAACAGATATTTAGTGATTATGCTGGAATTGGGGCCTAGCAATTTCTCTTTTTTAAAAAAAAGCAACGGCACCTTGCCTGTTAATGTGGGATTGGTTAATGGTCTAGTTCTAGTTTATGCAACTGACCAGGCAAATATTTGAAAGATTGGGAGCTGTAAGAGAACATCTTCATGGCATATAGCTCATTTGACCACGTCTAATTGGATGTTAAAAATCCTTGTTTGCTTGGTCTTTTGCGAAACTGCTGAATTGTGCTTTGCTTTGGTTTATAAGCCTCCAAAGTAGCTTATCGACACATCGGGTTATTGGAACATTAGAATTTTTGCTTTCTTAGAGCAAGAGTTCTAATCATCAAAGGAAATGTTTGCTAGAGCACAATTAGCATAAATATTTGGCTTTATTTGGGAGTCGGCATTCTTAACCATTGAATATAATTTCACACAATAAAGGTAAGACCCTAAACTGAATAAATTCAGGGTAATCTCTCTGCAGTAACCTAATTTTCCACAATCCTGACACTGTACAATCAAGATTAAATGGCAAACTTGGAATTTTTTTTTCCATGACTTCATTAAGTCCCTTGGCAACCAATGATTTTTTTTAACCTCAAGTTTTAACTCTTCCTCCTTCTACTGGAGGTATGTATGTTGGTTGTAAATTCATTGCCCAAATGATCTTTACCCGCGATGAGTGTTGAAGGGCTCTACGCCTGCAGGGTAGTGGGGTGGCGTAGGGTTATCACAGCTGATATCAATTAAATTCTCACCTAATGCCCACAAATAAGCATGCCATACCCCTACCATCTGGGCAGTCTGGATAGTGACCAAAGAGTAAGTTGTCTGGTTCCCTCTCTGCAGTTGAAGGGTACTGAGGCTAATTGTAGCACCCAGCTGCAACATGCTCAATACATGTCATCAAGGCACTTTACGAAAACGTTGAAGTGCTCTGAGACACTCAAATATTATAGGCACTATAATCAAATCCAAGGATTATTATTAAACTGTGCCCATTTCCTTTAATTCATTTGGTGATGCAATGATGTAAATTGACAATTCTGTATGCTCTTAATCTATTGCAGAAGCCGTGGTTTTATGACACATCAGAAGTGTGGGTTGGATATCCCAAACAGGTGAGTTCTGTTAGCACGAAACAAACTGTTGATTCTTGTCCACTTTGTATTGTAACTATAGTTGTCATTTTGGTTCACCGCCACTCTTTTCGTAAAGTGAGCAAGTGGGAGCTTCCCTGCTGTTAGTCATTTGGACCTTAAGTAAAGATATTGGCGGCAGAGAGAGCTGGGATTATAGGACAAGCCTTAATTCTTTCCACTGAGTAGGCTGTGCTGACTGATGTTTGGAACGTGTAGTAAACAATCTGTTAAAAGTGGTGTGAGGCATTAAATAACCACTTAGTTAACGTTTAACATGCAGTTAACATGATCATTAGTGGATGCAATAAACAATTAGAGCTCAAAGGAGTGGAAACACAATGAAAAAGGCTGTAATGTTGAAGTTTTTTTTCCTTTTGTTAATCTAATAGAGGGCAGACCCACTACAATACATCCCAGTTGAGCTCAGGTTCCCTTACAGAGTGCGTCTGAATGCAATCCACCCGACTAACAGTGTTGACTAGCACAGCTTCGAGAGGTTTTCAAAAAAAGAATAATTTCTGGGATGTTGCTTCCTGCAATGTTGTGTACACTCGATATGTCCAGGAAGCACCACTGATATCACTTCATAGGGAAATGATGACAGCAGCACTTCCCATGCACTTGTACAGGAAGTGGCATCAGCAGTGACCTTAACACAGAGGTTGACCTCCCTCCCCACCCCCTTCATTGAACCTTTACCTCTGAAAAATTGAATTTAGATGACCATATTTGTAGCCTTGTATTATAGGGCAATGGTACCAAGGCTTCACGAATGCTTTTCTTGTCAACCCACTGCATAAGTCTTCAATTCCCATCCCTCCCCTCTTTTGCTCTCTGATTTTTCTCCGGAGTTCACCAGTGGGCCGCCACTGAGCGTCTCGGTGGCTTTGCTGACACTTGGCTGACTTTCATTTGTTTTACATCTGCGCGGGGAGAACCAGATGAATTAAATCTACCCCAAAAATCATTGAAACATGGGTCAACTCATTTTGAGAACTCCGGGTTTGTCTCTGGGAAATGGTCTTCATGTTTTTGAAAAAAAAAGACTCCTGGAACCAATTTCATACAATGGGTCCAGGAAATTGCACGAAGCTTGACTGTGCTTCATTGAAATAGCAGGATTTGGTGATGTACAGTGTCAGTTGGATACAAAAAANGATTAATGTTCAATGTCCTGCCACTAATTGTGTGCAGCCCTAATGCATTTCGAATATGTATGAAACTGCAGAATATTATTGACTCGTGAGCATCTCTTTGTTCTTTCTGCAGACTTTATTGCCTTCGCAGTATTGGTACTACATCATTGAGTTGAGTTTTTACTGGTCACTCGTGTTCAGTATTGCATCCGATGTAAAGAGGAAGGTAAGCATAAAGTGGTAATGTTCTCTTCAGTGTCATCGCTTACCTGTGTAAATGTACTATGCGGTCACGGTACATGGTAATTGCAACTCCATGCTTTTGAAGAACTTGCATATTTGTGTAGGACTTGATTTCTTGAGGGTTGACTGAGCTAAAGTCATTCCTTCAGACGGATATAGGGTTGGAGATTAAAGGTGTTTACTGAGCACTGCAAGTGGGAAGCTTGTGGTGCCTTGACTTGTTTTTTGAGCAGTCGGCATTGGTACTTCCCTGATTGCTGATTCGTCATTTTTCTCTTTCTTTCCCCCCACTACTGGATTTAAAATGCAGAATTGACTGCCCATCTCACTACTGGGGGAGAGAGAGCAAGTACTATAAAGATCACTGTAGTCCTAGCTGCACATTGTTACGTACAATCCAGGATTGTTCTTGCCTTGAGCACTTCTGGGCTGAGAGTTTGAAGGTTGTTGGAAGCATCCTAGCCTTCTTAATTAGCTACAAACTGTTTATTTGTTAACAAATGTTTAATTACAATTCTTGCCCCTTGAGGGTAGTGATGGTCTGTAGCTACCATATTGTTGAAATTAAATTGCTCAGGAGCTGAAAATTTCGGGGCATTGTAAAATGCAGTGACGTTTGGCTGAATTAGAATTGCAAACCTCAAAACATCCAGTTCAATCAAAGCAGCAAGCTGTTCATGAGTCTATTTCACTTCCCCCGCCGCCTCCTTATATAACATAGCTGGCTCAAAGGTAATAAAGTTCAGTCAGATTAAGATTTAATTTTATTCCAAAATAATTTTTAAAAACTTCTTCACAGTTGCATTGCACGGGCCTAGATAATTGCACATGAGTGCCAAAATTTCACAACAGAAGTTTATATGAAGAAGACTCTTCAGCTCTTTGGTCTCATCCTTCCAGAATGCCAACCTTGCAATTTCAAGGTCATTCCTAAATGATTCAGGTCTCCTGGTCTCTAACCCCTCTTTTAGCAACCTATACTATCTGTTGATTACTCTCTGAATAAAGAGAGACTTCCTATGTCTATCCTAAATTTTCCCAGACTTGAGAACTCTGATCACTCTCTGACCATGAAATTATTGTGCAGGGTTTCCTATCTCCAGCCCATGTATCCTTTTGCAATGTCCTCTCTGAGATGTTTCTTTTTGAGACTGATGAGCTCTAGCCTATCACCATTCCTCATGTCCCTGTGAAAGTGTTCAATCTTTCTATATAATAGAAAAATGGCTGATTTCTGGAGGTCTTCAAGTCACAGCTGATGCCACTTTTTTTCTTCATTAAGTGGCATTTGTATTGCTCACACATAGCACACAGGAAGTGGTGGTGATGACTTCATAACCCAGAAGTCAGCCTTATTTATAGTGAAGGAAGCCAGCCAGCCTAGGATGGAAGCTAACCGTGGGTCCGTAGGGTAACGGCAATTCCTTCTTATAACCCTGTATGATGGGGTTGCCTTGTACTGAGGAAAATAATATTCAAGGGTATGGGATCAGAGTAATTGGCTCCAGTGGGGGAACAGGCATCAACACAACAGACCAATATTCCTTCTCTGCCAAATTTTCTATAATTCTATACCATTGTGATGTTAATAACAAAATTATTTAATTGTTTAGGACTTTCGGGAGCAAATCATTCATCATTTAGCAACCATCATCCTCATAAGCTTCTCGTGGTGTGCCAATTATATTCGTGTGGGAACTCTGGTTATGGCTGTACATGATGCGTCTGATATCCTATTGGAAGTAGGTGAATTTATGTATATTTTAGCACTTGCTTTTGGCTCAATTTCTTGCTTGTCAATGGGACAATATCAAAAAATGCAGGGTTTCTTAGAAAAGAACATTAGTCGAAGCAAATCTATTTAAATCTATTGCTGTTTAAATTGGTCATCCACTTTACGGCTGTTTGTGGGACAGTGCTGTGCATGTCAACCTACACAATATAGTCACTACACTTTGAGGTGTCTGCCCAGTGTTGAAAGTGCCAGATCAAATGTATGGATTTATGGATTTAAAAAAAAAAAAAAAAAAATTCCCCCTGGCTTCAGGTATTTTGAAATTGAATTTGCATCTAAACATCAACAATATCAATGCAACTATTTTGTTCCGTCACTTATCAAAATTTAAATTCTTACAATGCCAATTTTAATTTTGGAAAGTGATACATTTATAATCTTTGTCCCTCTTTCACAGTCTGCCAAGATGTTGAATTATGCTGGTTGGAAATCTATGTGTAACTCAATCTTCATAGTCTTTGCTCTGGTATTTATAATCACTAGACTTGTCATCTTCCCCTTTTGGTGAGTACCAGTATTTCCTTGACTATTTTTAAACATCAATGAAAACCTTAGTTATCAATCTTCAACCCATGTCAGCAAAATCTGAGCAATAGTTCCACAGATCTGGGAATCAGCATACTGTTACTGTGTAGACTGCAATCTTCATAGTTGAAGTTGTCAATTAATGTGCGCATTAGTCTGTAGCATTTGTTCATTTGTTTCCTGAAATCCATGATCTTTTCTATTTTTCAATGTACATTAGAGTTTGCAAGGTAACTGGTCATGCTTTATTTACAAATATTCCATACCAAAGTTATTCAGGGATTTGAAATTCTATACAATATGGTTCATTTTGCAGGTCAATCATTGCATAATTATTACAAATTGTTCTAAGTCACTTTTTCCCTACATGATTACATGCCAGGTCTTTATATTCAGTAAAAGCAGACCAGTACAAAGCCTGCATAGGGAATACCAGAAATTATTAACGTTATAACTTTCTTGTAAAGTTAAATCGCAAACAGATTAGGTCATACACAATTTTTAAAATTCCATATGGCCAATGCCTTGAGTTTGACCTAACAAATTTGCTTTAAAGAATGTAAGGAATAAGCAGAATTAAGAATTGCTGCTATCAGTGGAACTGATTTACTATAAATACCTTCCAACACTTTTTTGATCAAAAAGCAAATTACCAAATTTCTTTGAAAGCAACCTAAGTTCTCTGATTCTTAAACAAAACTATTTAAGCTTCACTTATTAGGTCAAGCACCATTAATTCAGTTATGTTAAACTGATTAGTTAATTTGGTTTTGCAATGGCATACTTTTTCAGATTTTATTGATATGATAGTCAAAAGCTTTAGATGTCTAATTTTAATTGTTCCCAAGTAATTGATCCTTGTTTCTGATTTATTAAATGCCATAAACCTTAACAAGCTTGATATAAAATTTTCCTCTTGTACATTAAGGTTTATTATGCATGTTGTGCAAACCATTTGTAGGTAGATGAATTCCAGTCTATCAGTGAAAATAATGCATGACCTTAGTAAATATACGATTTTAATAGGGAGTTGGGATAATGAGTTAGCATTAAGAGATTGCAGAATCCACACATAAATTGACAGATGGTTATCCCAATTATTTATGTACCTCTATAGGCGCTCATGGTCTGTAAAAAGATCCATAACCACAATATGTCAATTACTCACAATTATTACATGATTGGATTAGGAAATCCCATTAAGTCCTATATGAAAAATTCAACAATGTTGGCAATTAGATGTGTGATAGCTGTCATTTAACAAATATTTGATGCAAAATTTTCCAAATGATTAAATAATTACAACAATGATCACCATAAAGAAATTATCATTAAAAACAAAACTTTCCTTCCTCTTTTTCTCCCCCACCCCCCTATTCCAAATTCAATCTATCACTCTGTATTCCAACCTTCTTCACCAAGGTATGTTGTTCTGGCCGTTTTTGCTCAATTTCAAGATTCTCACTCTAACTTTTGAATATCTCTGCTCTCTTGTCTACCCTGCCACTTGTCTCGCTCCTTTGATCCTGCTGCATACCCCTGCCCACCTCAACCCATCATTGTTGAGTGGACTTTCAGATACTACGCTCACCTTCACTCTCTGGAACTCCTTTCCCAAATCACTCCACCTCTCTGCTTTCAAATTCTTTCTTAAACATAGCCACCTCTGATTTGTACCTTCAGTCACCTCATTCCTACAGCCCAGTTCCATCTATGGCTGTAAACACTTTGAGGTGTAAAGGGTGTTATGTAAGTTCAAGTTACTTTTATATTTTCTCTGTGCATTTTTAGACATTTCACACACAAAATTGCACTCTGTGCACAGGAGGGCATTATATTCAGGTAACTTAGTGTTGCCAGTTAGCCAGTCGATAAATCAAGGAATTCAAAAAAAAAGTGTGTACCTTCAACTTAGTTTCAAAAGACTAAAATCTAAATTTGAAAAAACTTGGATACCTTTTTTTCGAATGAACCTAAAAAAGTTTGTTTTGGGAACAGTTTAGATTAGGACTTGATTTTTATTACTAATTCCCATCAAATATCAATTTATCATCTTGTCATCAAGCAGGCCAGTACAGGGCTGTTGCTGTACATCTGTACAGTTTATCCTTACTAGTTTTTCTGTGCAAAACTTGTCAGCATCTCTATGAAAAAATAAGTGCTGACTTTGAGTTTATGGTTTTGTTTATACAGTAATACATTGGGAGTCTTCCAGCAAGACATCAGCACATTGCTTCCAGGGATCTGACAACACACAGAATTAACACAGCAGTATATTTAAGTAGTGCACAAGTAGCCAAATATTGAACTAATTATTGATAGAATGTTCAATTACAGAGAGGTTCCACTGGCACAGATGTAAACAGTACACTGTCTTGAGTAGTTTGTTAGTAACTGATGCTCCACTTAAAGTTTTCTGAACTGAACATAATGGCAGTGTTTCCATTTCTGTTTCTCCCCCCCGAAGGCCTCAATGTTGAATTATTAAGTTCCTGTACTGGTCTTGTGGGTAAAGGTCTGGTACAGCACAAAGCAATACAGACCGGAAGGTCGCGGGTTCAAATCCCAGTCTATACTCATTTTAATCGATCTCAGCCAGGACAGCAGTTGCACAGGATCTACACTACCAAAAGAACAGACCATTTGACCCAACTTGTCTGTGCTTGGGTTCAAGTTCTGTTCATCGTAATCCCTGTACCCCTCTCTTTCCCTCGTGGATGCCTTGAGCATTCCTCTTAAATGTATCCATGCTTTCTGCTTAAACCGCAGCTTCTGGCAATGAATTCCACATTCTCACCAGCCTTTATATAAAGAAGTTCATTCTAAACACTTAGATCTATTGGTAGATATTATATTTATTCCCTCCCACTTCTCACTTAAAAAGTGAAAATAGTTTATTCAACCCCTTCACAATTGTAAGCGTGTCTTAAATGTTCCCTCTCAATTCTCATCGCTAGGGTAAAAACCCTGTCCAGTCTTTCCTTATGAGCTATATTCTCTTCACTCTGGTAACATCCCAGCAAATCTGTGCTGTCCTTTCTCCATTGCCATAATATCCTTCTCATAATATGATGGCCAGAACTGTACAGTTTTCCAAATGTTGGCACGTTACAATTTTCCTGAGTTGAAGGGTGGGGAGGGAGGAAAGGGAGGCTGAAACTCAGTAAAGGTTCTTCTTCCTGAACACTATTTGCAGATCTCTGCTGGAATGTGGGCCTGAGTGACAAACTTCTGTGGAAGCAAAGGGATAGATTTTTTTTAAGTTATGCAATGTAGCATCATCTAGAAGTCTTAGGGCCAATTGGCGTGGAACAGTCTGGTTTCAAGCATTGGTCTGTATAGCCAATCTATGATCAGGAGAGAAAATCTGGGGTTGATGCTTCAAGTTTATGAAACAGAAATTATTTTCATTGCAAAAATGTGTTTTCTTTTCTAGGATCATCCATTGTACCTGGGTCTATCCAGTATACTACTACCCTCCATTCTTTGGATATTATTTCTTCAATGCAATGCTTTTGGTCTTGCAGCTGCTACATATTTTCTGGGCATACCTCATTCTACAAATGCTATCCAAGTTCCTATTCAACAAAGTAAGTGGTTTGTGTTGTTTTTGGTGAAACCCTTTAACTTGACAGAAAATTGAATTGGTTCCATTTTGCATTTACAAGTCGACAGACTGAGCATACAGACAAGAATACAGTCAGATCCCTAAATATCTATTAATTCCGAATGCAACCAATCTTTTTTATTTAAAAAAAATCAACTTTCCCCTACTTTATAGGAGGAGACTTAATGTGCTGCAAACTTAGCCCCACTGTGGTGTGAGTCATGTACTTGAGGTACTCTTTGTGTGTTTCCTGCAGATAATATTGGCAACCTGACATTACTAAAGGCAGGTGTTGCATTGCTTGGGAAAAGTCAATTTGGGTGACTAATAATTTCGCTGTTTGAAGTGTATAACTTTTCTTCCAAGTAAGTGAAGGGTTCTTATTAATCGCCCTATTGGTTTAAGGCATTAGACCACACACCAAGTAAAAATCATAGTGTTTTTACCTCTGTCAAATCAAGCATGAGGGGCACCCACCCTGTTTACAATTGGATGCACCTGATGGGAGTGTGTAAAACCTTCAAGTCCCAAGACATGACCACCACAAGAGGGTGTTGCAGACTCCACCAATAATCCCAGCAATGCAGTGGTTGTTATAAATGTAACAAGTAACATTTTCAAAGTTTTCAGGCTGATGGCCTCACATTTCTAATAGCAAGGCAGATACAAATGACTTGTTTAACCTCTGAATGTTCATTGAGCAAAGCTTTGTACTTATTTGAGCTCTCCCTTTTCCCACTCAGTAACTTTCTGACACACTCGTGAGAAAATATAATATATAATAAACTTTGCATTTCATATAGTGCTTTATCACGTTGTTGAGGCATCTCAAAGCACTTCACAGAATATACTGTGAAGTGAATTGACTGTATATTTTATGGGTGAAACGTGGCAGCCAATTACACACAGCAGTATCCCACAAACAGTGATGGAATGACGATCCAATTATTATGATTTCATGTTTTTACGGGATTATTACCCCCAGAAAGCAATCTGCCAATTGACTAACAACCAGGTTCCTACTTACTGCTAGGTAAACAGAGGCATGTGGAGTAAGGAAACTTGCCTAAGGTTTTGTCCTGGCGGTAAATGGTGTCCTCTAGCTTGCGAGGCAAGTGCTCCTACCAGTACCCTACAGGACTCCAAAATTATTCAATGAAATACTTGCTCAATAATCTCTTTTTTTAACTTGTAGTTGAGCTGATGTCTCTTGGGTAGCAGTTAACATCTTTGGGGGTGATTCTCTGCTCGACTGTAGATTCATGAACTTTGGAGGAATTCTCGATTGGTTTGTTAATTTACCAACGTTTTCCAGTATGAGCTAGTGTGGGATTTTACTGAGTGCTGAGGTAAGGTTGTATTCAGTTTTCAGAGTGGGAGTTGATGTATTCATAGTCACCAAGTTGCACATCAATGTTGCTGCCAGTACTTTGGATTCTGTAAAGCAATGTAAACAGGATAGGATGTTGGCCTCAGGCTGCAACAGAATTGGTTCCATTTTGTCCCAGTTCTGAACTATCCATACTAATTGCAGCTTAAAGGGGTGCTGTGGTCCCCGTTTAACAGGTCTGGGATGAACTCTGGATCTCAACCATTGGGTTCAAATAACGCAACAGTTGCAATGAAGATGTTTGCGCAGATGCAACAACACTGCACAGTATAAACTGTTGTGATGTGGCTCTTGTGGGAATGTTTTGAGAGATTTAAGCTAAATTCCATTACTTTTCAATGCAGACAGTTGGCAGAGAAATTATGTTATTGTGTCGCCACTTTTGTTTTTGAGATTCTCGGTTTACATGCCTTGGAGGAAAATGAGATCCCAGTCAATTTATGAGGACCAGGCGGTTTTAAACTCAACAATCCAGATGAACCCTATAGTTGCATGCTGAGATTTGAAGGATGTAGTGCATCTGACATGTAGTACATATCTGATTTTATGATTGTCAAATTGATATCATTTGAGCAGCTTGTCTTGCACCGCACCTAGTTCAGATGTGGGCCAGTATAGATAGGTGGTCCGCTTCAAGACACTGTTTTTCCACCATCCTATAACTATAATCTGTCTTATTTTATTGAAGTTGCGAGCAACCTAAGGAATGAAACATTTTGTTCGCAAACAAACTTGAATTGATCCACCAAGAAAATGCAACGCAGTTTAATCAAATCACCGACTGTTACTTGAATTGCCAAGCTTGGATTATTCCATAATGTTACAATCCCACGCTGATAGAGGTGCTCAATATTACTGCTGTTAGAAATGCTTCAGATATTTAATGTTGGGCTGTTCATTGCAGGAATTTGGGAGGTGTTGGAATGGAAACTGACAGATTAGTTGTCTCAACTAGAAAAGGGCTTTTATAAATTACTGCCTGTGAAAGGTCATGGGGCAGAATAGGTGGGGAGGAGCTCCAAATGAGATTGGAAATGTTAATTGGTACAAAGGATGTTGGTTGTCCTAACTTCAATGAAATTTTTTTAGGCTGAACTGTTATGCCAATAGTAGACATGTTTAGCAATCTAATGGACTAAAATCTGGCCAAGGATTGCTGGGATTGTAACAAGCCACAAAATGCGAGTTAGTATTCTGGGGTCAGTTGTTCAATTGAACAAGGAACACTGATTCGATGTCAACTTTAAAATATGTTCAAATCCCACACCTACATAGGAACACCTGCAACAACTTCAGAAATAATTTTGGCTGCAGTGAAATGTAGTGTTTCCTTCTCATCATGTTTGCTTTCTTAACACATGAAGACATAACTACATCTGTCTAATATGTTCATGTGCCTTAATTCTGCACACATGGCACTGACTGATCATTTTACGTCCTGCCACTCTCCCAGGAGGTTTAATCACATTCAAGTAAAAACAAAAAAAAATTTCACGACTTTTTTAGTAGAAATACAGTGAGTTCTACAGAGCAGCGCTTAATTAAGGTACTGAAGCTGTTTCTGCAAACTGTTAGTTGTTTATAACCTTCCCTTTCTGTCTATCTTTTACTCTAGGCTGTGATCCATATAGTATCAGCAACTAACAGCTCCCATTGTTTTTGTGAAAACTTTCTGTAAAGGCATGTTTTGTGTTAAATCTGGTAATTATTATACCAGTGTAAAAATAAATTGGAATCTGGAATATACTATACTCTTTGGCAGTATCAGAGTAAGTTGGTATGTGATTTAGACAGATGTGCAGTTGGTCCATTTCCTCTCGTCTACAGCTGTGTTTCTTTGTCCTCTTCATTCTTATTTAACCTTTTTGTAATACAAATATGCTTAGACTTGTATTCTACATGGAAAAATATTCTGTGAATACAGCTGCATTATTAAGGGAAGATTAGTTTATATAACTACCCACAAACTTGTGTTTCCCTCAATGGTTCCACGCATATCTCTATCCAGAAAATGGATGAACATCAGCTGGACATTTTCAAGTCTCATACCTGTGATAAGCCTTGAATTCTATAGCAAAGGGCATAAGCTTCCCAAAAGTTGGTGCATGGCATAACTTTTATTTTGTGCAACTCTATAATGAAGCATCCTCCACTATAGCCTTGATATCACTCTAGCAGAAAAATAATTTGGTGACAGAATTAACTTTTCACTGTAATCGTTTCATTACATTTCTTTTTAAAAAGTTGCTTTCATAGCAGTAGAGTAATCTGCGCTGGCAATTAAGCAATCGGACTGTCCATCTCCCATCTTCTTTATTGAGCCATTCATGTATATTGTGGTGTCTTACTCTTCTCTACCTGACAAAGACTTTTCTATCTCACCCTTTAGCTACTGATGTACTATGCCCCCAAAATTTCTTCTCTTTTGGCTGCTGGTTGATCTTTGAGTTTGAGTTTCTACTGTTTCCATTTTATTTCTAGCAACATCTTTACATCAACTCAAAACCTTCAGTGAATGACCTGTCGCTCCTTGGTTCATTTCCAGATTTTGGTGCTGTGCCTTATTTATTAGTTCAGTTACTTTCTCAAATGGCTTTGGTAGGTTTGTGAGGCATGACCGATTTTTACTTCTAAATCACATCGATTGCTCCTTCATCTGTGCTCTCTGAATAACTACATCTTATACAATGTACTTAAACATTGCCACTGCAGATGTTAGTCTAATACGTCTCCAATTTTCAAAATTCCTCTTCAGCCTTTTTTTTAATGCCAAGATGGCATTTTCTCATGTCCATGAGTATTGCTCCAATGTTTTTTTGGGTTCTGCTTCCCATTCAGTACTCTCTAGAGCTCTTCTTATAACTCGTAACTCCAATGTTAACATTCCTAAAGGCGTACACATTGCATTGTTTGTAACTTTTATTCCCAATACTCCTCGTGTCGGAATAAAAACATTTCAGTTTATGCTTCAACACGTTTATTTTCTTATATACTCTGCTGTTTCCTTGCGCTCTTGATTGTCCACAGGCCTTGACTCATTTATTCCTCTAATAAAGCTATGCGCTTTGTTTTTATCCTAACAGTGCCATAACCATATTGGCTTTGTTTTCAGCTGCAGCAATGTCGTATTCTGAGCAGTTGGTTGGTTATTTCATGCACAATTGCAGGAAAAAAGTGATTCTTGATGCATCACTGACTTGCAAAAATCCAAGAAAAATTTAAACCAGCTTTTGAACTGTTTCCATTTTAATTTGGGTGAATATTCATCAGAACTTTCCTTATCTTTAAGCATCAAAACTCATTCTAATTGAAACGAAAAATGGCAACTTGTCTATTTTGGAGCAATTTGTTTTTCACTAATGCCTTGTATTGAAACAAAATAATGCAGTGAATTTTTAATTCAGTGGTGGCAAACAATAAAAGTGGGTTTGACAGTTGTTTTGAGCGGCTGAATGTACGGTTAGAATTCTCATGTTGGGGTATTTGCACTTTTGCAAATGTTAATGTTCATCCATGTATTTAAGAGATCAGAAGTTGAATTCAATACAAATCTAACAATATAGAGTGAAAATAATACTTCAGATAGGGAAATA